AGCCTGAAGGAGTTTACAGGAAATCTGGGGCACAACGACCATAAAGGTAATGGATGGCATCGATTCTCCCACCACAAGCAATCTACGCCCTGCTGACAGACAAGACTCAGAGGATGGAGAATTTTTTTTTCCTTTTTCAGAGAAATGCAGTTGAAATGTGGGATTTAGAAGAAGTGTTAATATCCCACCTGTCTCTTCTTGCTTTAAACTGGATAATTTGTTTAGAACTGTGTGAATTATTTTTATATAAATTCAAAATTTATCCGAGACTTTTTCACTCTTTTATTTAACAGGACAAAATAAAAAATTTAAAATTCACAAACAAATCAGACTCAACTTTATTATTTTTTTCTATTTACATTCTCTAAAGTGTTTATATCTGATGTGTTTACTCACAGCTATAAAACCATCATGACTAACTTTAATAATTATTCACAACTTTCTGTTAAAAGTACAATATGAAAAAAAAATTTAAGATTTAACTACCGTAATAGATAAATAAAAAAAAAAAACTGTAAACAAATGTCTTTCTTATATTTAACATACTTTTCCATTTTAACCCAGAACAAGATGATTTAAGGATGTCACTATTTCAATTCTGTGAGCTAAATTATAGAGATTGGGAAAATTAATTTCAAAAGTCTAACTTAATTTTTTTTTTAAGTTTATACAATAATTTATTCTGAATGCAGCTTTAATTGTATATCTGTCTCATAATCGTCACAGGTACTTATAAAAATGAGCAGCATGGGCTTCAGGGTTTCATTGTTTTCTTTTTCTTTGTTCTGGCTGAGAAACAGACTGTTTAGCATTTATATTGCTGTAAAGTGCCACAGTAATTAATGTCGGAAGTGAGTCATTCATTTGTTCAGGTTTTCATCATTAAAACAAGTTCTTTAACACAAGTTTCAAGTTTATTTTCTAAATAGAACAAAACATATTTTCCATAGCTATTATTTTCTTTATATTTATTCTAACCATACTCATCAACACAACATCTATTTAATTAAAAACATCCAACGGAGCTTGAATAAAGCACTTTTCATAACCATTAACTGAAGCTTTACTCTTGATGGTTAAAAACAATCGTTTATTGGATGAATGTCTGTTAGGAGAACAGCTGGAATTCATTATATGTTTACTTAGAAAGCTGCTACGCTACAACGCCATCGACCCATCCATCTCACTCTCCTTTACATCACCACCAGTTATCCAGAAACAAAGACACTTGAAGTCCCTCAGGACGTCCAGAGATGGATCCCAGATGCTAAGCTGTCCATCTTTCTTTATGCTATGAAAACCGAAGACTCAGACCTGGAGCTGCTGCTGACTCTGGGTTCAAACGACTCTAGGAGGAGATAAAGCTCATTATTTGAAGTCAGCAAAAATCAGATCGCCTAACCTGCTAGACAGATAATTGATCAGCCTGATTTCTTTAATTTTGGGTGATCAACCAACAGTCGGATAAGTCAATCTAATCTACATAAGGAAAGGTCTGAGAATCAGCAGCAGTCTATGCTTTAAGCTTTGATGACACTCCTCTTAGTGTGCAATTAAAACTAGCTTGTCTTGTTTTACTAGAACTGTTTAATATTTACATAAATTAAGAGGAGAACATTGAGGACATATTAGGATCTTATGTCACCTGTCAGCGCTGTTCATTAAAGAAATCTGGCTCCGCTAAAATCAGCAACATTAGTTTTTTAAAGATAGGCCAGAACAATGCAAATAGTGCACCCCTAAAATATACCTGCAATTAATTTTTTTTTTGATGAGTAAAATTAATAATTGCTTGATACGTAAATAACTGCATCAAGTCTGATTGATTCATTAACATTCATTCAGCTAATATTTTTTTAGATTTATACAAGTTTTCACACTTTTTTTTTCTCCCAATTTTTTTCACTTTACTACAATAAACTTCAATGAATTTCAATAGGATGTAAGATGACAGACTGACACGAAGTGGAAGAGAAATTAAATTAATTTGCATATAAAGACTTTTGCTCTGATCCTGCTAAATAAAACCCAGCGCCATCAACTCCCATTAAAACTCCCGTAATAAACAGATTCCACCTTTATGTTATGTAACATCTGTATAAATCCAGATGTTCTGTTTGGCATGGTTATGGTCATGTTGAAATTGAAGGAAGGCTTCAGGCTTTGGGGGTTCTTAGGTCAGGAGGTATCAATCACCTCATTACAAGAGGCCAAAACTCATATACAAGATTTTAGGAACAAAAGGGAGAAAATACAAAGACAATGGAAAACTTTTAAGAGGAAGAGAAGGAGAAGAAAAGAGTAAAAGACAAAGAAATACGAAAAAAAAAAAAACACTAAAAACACAGGAAAGAAAAAGAAGGGAGAGGAAGACGATGGAAATGGAATAAACAGTAAATCAATAAATGCAAGTATGTCCTGTTAAAATCTCTGTATCTCTATATTTGACCTGCTGTTTTGTGTTTAGTCTTCTAATTTCAGAGGGCCCCATGTCTGCCTTCACCTTGGGCCTCAAACTTCTTAAATCCGCAACTGTCACCCTGAACCCAGCACCTCTACTATGAAAAACAGGGGAAGCTGCATCATGGTGGGGGAAAACCTTTCTTCATCAGCGTCCTGAGAGGATGGAGAGGTTAGAGGGAAGAAACACTTTCCAGCAGAACAACAATCATAAACTTATAACCAGAGCTACAATAAAAACTGCTTAGATTAAAGTATATTTCGCTTTAAATTGGCCCAGTCAAAGTCCGAACCTCCCTCTTTTCTGACAAAGAAGACTGACAGATAAACTCAGCCTGTATATTTGCAAACCTACAGCTGGTTTTACAGCTAATTATTATAAACTGGAGGCTGAGACAGTTAAAAAATATAATTATTTTGCAGTTTCTTTCTCTTTTAAATGTTTTGAAACCATTTATCATTTTCATCCCACCTCACAACTAGACTTCACTAAATTTAGTTGATCAAATTTAAATCTAAAAACAATACAGCAAAGTTTTCATCAACACCATAACACATTTGTTTCTGTAGAAGCTTTATAAATATTAGGAAAAACAAAGAACAATAAAAAGAATAATGAAAATTAAAAATCCAAACATCACCAATACAAAGAAAATGAGTGCAACATTAAGAAAGAGATATTAGCTTACACTTGAGATTTTTAAAGTTTAAAAAACAGAAAGAGAAGGCGCTGGTCTGACCCTCAGCAGCATTTCATTCTACAATTTAGGAGCCAGAGCTGCAAAGGCTCTGTCTCCTCAGGATTTATAAAAGGTATTTAGGTCTGCTAAAAGCATCTGGTCAGATGATCTAAGAGGTGGCATATAAAGATGCAATACTTCCCACTAATTAAAAAGGGCTAAGATCACCCAAAGACTTAAAAAATAAACAAAAAGATGGATTCAAAACTAAATAGGAAGCCAGTGAGGGTAGTTATGTGCTCTGTTCACCTGTTAAAAGATCATGCAGCAGCAGTTTGCACCAGCTATAATCGTGACAGCGAGGCCTGATTAACCCCGACCAACAGCGAGGATTGCTGTCTCTAGAAAGGAAGAGTTTGATTTTCCACAGTCTCCTCAGCTGAAAGAAAGACGACCTGACCAGCATGTTGACATGGTCGTCAAATATCTATTTTCACCCCTAAATCTTAGGGATGTGGGGAAAAAAATCGTTGTGGTGATATATCATGATTTTTGGCTGATTGATATAATATTGATCTTTCAGAATCTAGTAAGGATTTCTTTTTTTTAAACAAAAAAGAGTTTTACATAAAACTAGTGTTGCGCCAAAGCCGTTTTTTGGTCCAGATACCGATACCTGGCTGTGCAGTATCGGACGATACCGATACCATCTGTTTAAAATTGATGTGTGTGTATATATGAAGAACTACATACTACTTGGATGTAAAATAATTGTGAAGCAGGAAATAGACTAATACAAAGTGAATCCAGTAAAACTTTTTATTTCCTACCTGGAATGGGTGACAATAGTTGAATAGAATTTTAGCTCTCAAAATGGTATCGGTGCCCTATTTGTTGGTACTCGCTGATACCACAATTTTAGTGCTGGATTGGGGCTCTGCCTGATACTGGTATCGGTATCGGTGCAACACTACCTAAAACAATGAGTGAGAATGGGCCACCTCTGCCCACCATTCTGGCAGATAGTGCTGTGGAGTCTTTTTGCTGTGAAGCGCAGCATCATATCTGTAGTTGATGCAGTGAAAGTGGAAGACGTTGACTGACTCAAACCCCAAACAACATGAATACAAAAAAAGTAAATGATAAATATCTTCTGATGAACATATACAGCACTCGCTTTATTATCTATAAATACAATTTTGACAACAGGGAAAAATATCAAAATATACAGCGATATTGCGATATCATATTGTAACCCAAGTATTGTGACACGTATTGTATGGCAACACCCATGCCAATACTCACCCCTACTAAATTTGTGAAGGCAGATTTTTTTAAATAGAGTAAAAAAAAAACAAAAAAAAAAAAACAAAGGTGTGGATGTTTTTGGGAACACCAGATTTAAAAGCTATAGCTTCACTCTTTTTCATTCATGAAGGAACTAATATTAATAACATCAACATAAAAAATCAATATAATCTGTCCTCTTTCTTTATAAGACACACTATGTTGGTTTTATTGACTAAACAAAATGAAGCTGCTCTCCTCTTTGGGCTTGCATGTCTCAACACATCGCTGCCAGAGTCTCCCAAGGAGAACAATACGTCTGCAGAACCGTGAATCAAAGTAGACAGTTTTGTAATATACTACTGAGTGAAGAACCAAATCAATCTGGCTGTCGTTGTGCTGTTGTCATAGGGAAATGTTAAAGTCTTTCATTTCTATGCTTGTGTTGATTTATGTTTTTTTGTTTTTAATTCGATTTTAAAAGGTTCTTTTAACATAAAATAACTAGTATTATTACTAAGGTGTTCTGTTGAGTAGTGCAAATTGTGCATTGATGAGAACTACAAACCCGACCTGAAAGGCTTTGCGGCCGCTGGGAGAAGACAGGCAGGTGACAGAGCGATGGTCAACCAGGTCCAAAGCCTGCAAGGCACATGAGCCGAAGACAAATTTCAGCCTGCAAAGACAAGGAGAAAAAGGAAGCAAATGACTTCCATCTATAAGCAAAAGTAACAATGCAAAACTATTCAATGTAAAGAGGTTGGAGGGTCAATAAAACATTCTTTTTTTTTTTTTTCTTAAAGCCAACACTGCAAATAACTGATTTTTATTCAATGATTCTTCATAATTTTCTATAAATATCCAGCAATTTTTGATTATTTGGGACAATTTTGAATCCATTTGACACTTTGATCAGCTGATGCTGATCGTTTTGCATATTCTATTTTCTCTTTAAAGCAACACTGTGTGAATTTTTTTCCACAGGATTAAAAAGTCTTCTGTGTTTTTTTAATCTGATATTAGAGCAGACAGCCAAACCAAAACAACCATGGCAGCGCAGGAGGACACACGCGTAGCTGCTGCTATCACATCTGTTCAGTCGTTATCCACGATTTCATCTTTGAAAGACGGACAGCAAGAGCATTAAAGTGTAATTTCTGGTTTTCAGGCCAATATCATTTGTTAACGCGACTGCCTAAATCCAAGTTTGGTAGATGGACACTTTGTCCAATCAGCTGAGAGAGTTCACTTAAATGACCCTCCTTTCCCTGAACATATTTGATGGAAATAATTTGTAAAACTAAAGCGTAACACATGAAATCCAAATCCAGATTAAAAGTGGTTGCTATTAAAGACTGCATAAAGTAGAAATAGCAATGTTCTTATTATCATCATCTTGGTGCTGATGACTAGCTTAATTAGTCATTTAATTCACCTGTCTAACTCTGCCCAGTTTCTCATTTCTGCTCAGCTGATCAACCTGCCTCTATTTAAGTTGTTTGCTCCCAGTCATCAGGGCCTAATTCATTTTGAGCCTTTGGTGTGAGAATCAGTCAAGCGTACCTGTATTCTGATTACCTCATCTTGATCTGTTCTGCCTCTCGCCCTCTGAGCCTGCCTGTTCCAGTTCTGATCTGTTTGCCTGACCTGCCTTCGGATTCTTACTGGATTCTACTTTTGGACTGTTCCTCCATCTGCCTCCTGACTTCGCCTTCTGGATTATATGGATAGGTTTCTGCGTCTGGAACGTGCGGAAAACTGCTGCACCTTGTCTGCTGAGCGGCTGGAATTGCCCTCGTTCTCTGGGCACAGACTGTACTATAAACCAGGTTAGTGACTTACGCGTTCATATCATCCTCCGTCAGTCATCCTCCAGAGTTTCTTGACTCAGACGCCGCAGCCACTGCTACTGCAACTCAGCAGCCCATTTATTTAATAAAAGCTTTTTTCAATTATCCCACTGTGTGTTTTGCTTGAATACTGGGTCTTCTGTTCTGAGTCGTGACACTTAGTTTTTCACACCACCAAAATATGTTTTATTAGTTACCTATCTGAACTGTGATGATTTAAAACACAAAAGGATATATATATAGTATTAGTTCTCAAAAATAAGGAAAAAACATTTCTGAGGCTGTGTCCACTTAGACTGCTGAAACCATGCCCATACGTTATTCTATTTCACAGCAACATGCTAAATATTATATTTGCATTCTGATTGCTAATGCAAGGGGATCAGTGGAAGCTACACAGCGTCCCTATGTTTTGGAGGAGGGAGGGGCTCGCTCACTCACTGTTTGCTGGAGACGGTAAACAATCTGAGTTCTATGTGTCGACAACAAAGTCTTCAATCAGATAAGAAAATATTGCTAGATTTGTTGCTTAAGGGGTCTGAAAAGACGCTAAATACTTCTGGACCAGCAGGGGGCGGGTCTATGCTGACTACATGAAGCCCAACTTTTAGAAACACCAAAATTAAAAACACCAAATCCTGACACAGGAATAACGAGACAGTTTAATTCTAGTGCCACAGTGCAAACTTGAAATGTTGGTAAACTTTTTACACACTTTTTCACAAACCAGCTTTAAATTGCATTTAGAAGAAAACTGGGGATTTCCATTTATGCAGTCTTTAAAAATTTCTTTCCTGACATTATGTAACAAAAATAAAATGAGCCAAGATTGCATCCTCCCCATCTTTTAGCATCTGTTATTAGCTGTTAGCACTGCTCCAATCAATCATCAATCCTAAAATATTAGCCTTATTGTCCATTTAATAAAGAACATAGATCCTAATGGGAGTTCCTAAAGATTGCTAACATGCTTCACAATAAACCAAGCCAAAGCGCTCAATAGGATGGAACAGATGTTTCCTACTTCCTGCCTGAAAGCATTGCTCTCGCTTGCTCTCTTGCAGCCTGAATGAACAACAGATATGCAGAAAAAAGGATTCCTATCTCTTTTCTCCTACTGAATGTGTTTTTATATATTCGTCCAATATCGAGAAAAGGCAACTTTCTTTTCCAGCTATAAAAACTTTTGTATGAAAATATGTTGGTGATGTTGACAGAATGAGGCGTTTACCGAATGGATCAGTGATTTTCCTGTGCAGATTATCCAATAGGGTTTCATTAGGTTGAAAAGAGGAGGACGAACATAAGATTTTCCTGCCTTATGCTAAAATCCTTTTTTTTTGCTCAAATTTTCATTTAAAAACAAATTTTTTTTTATTGTTTTAAGTTTGCAAGAAAATAAATAAATATGAGTCCGCAAACCTCCAGAGTAAAGAAATGAATAAATGCTATCAATAGAAAATGAAAAGAAGTAGGATAGGCATTGTGACTTTTTGAGAAACAGACAGCTGTATTGAACTAATATATTCATATTGCACCAGTTTATTTTAAAAAAGTGAAATATTTGCTGATGAATTTCAACAAGCAGGGATTTTATCAGAGTGAGTCCATGAACTAGAAGTTTCCTGGTGAACAAACAGGATGTGACAGTGCCGCAGAGACAGAGAGCAGCCCTTCATTGACAGCAGGCCAGGAAACGTCTCCGTCATGACACACTGTCTCTGTCTCAACGTCACCTGGGGCAAACCAAGCAATAAAAATGCCTCATTTCTCCTACTTAGTGTGGTTTAGCACATGACATTGACTTGACTGAAATAGCATACACTCCCCTTTTTCGTCACGACTATGATCACACTGGATGACTGGTGCTAGTGGGAATCCCACAGAGGTCATTTACAAGCTTTTAAGAACCAACAGAAGTAAAAATGTTACTAAAGCTCATAAATAGCACCAAGTACAGGAACAAATGTATGAATTATCAGGAAAGTTGGTACTTACGCAATCAGAAGATCATCTGGAACTGCAAAAAGATAAAAAAGACCTGTTTTAAAATGTGACAAACTACTATTTTTTTAATGAGACATAAAACCAAGTAAAGTAACTGGGATATAAAAAAAAAAACTAATGCAAATCCTCTGTGTGATGACTGTGTTTTATTTTGGAGCAGAGAGAAAACTGGTGGAAAATGCTCTGTATTCAGCAGCTGGACATTCTGCATTTGCAAAATGTACCTAAAATATCTAAATACTCTGTAGTAAATAATATTACTTAGCTCAAGTTCAGGGAAAAAATAACACATCAACTGATTTGTAAAAACAAATAATCACATAAGTTTGATTTGGGCCCCAGAGAGAGCTCGAAGACATCAGTTAGCACAATCAGTTGGTGCAAAGATCTGTCCAATGAAATGAATTACAAAACATCTTCAAGGAGGCAGCTGGATTTGGAGGGTAAGAAAGAAAAACTTGTTGTTGATCAGCTATGGATAAAACAAGCAAGCAAGAGTAAATAGAAATGATTAACATTTAGAAATCATAGCGTAGGGTGAGTAACTAACCCATTTTCCCTTATTGCTACTAGTTTGTTAAGAGTCCCAAAAGTTGCATGATCATTTATAAAAAACATTGCATTCTAAAGTTTTATAAATGTCTGCTTTATAAAACACTTTTTTTTAAAACAAAGATTTCAGGACAATGTAAAACATCCTGATTTTACAGCCAGAGAATAGTTTTAGCTTGAAACTGAAGGAGTTCCTTTATGTGTCAAAAGCAGGCACAAGAAGATAGCTCTCTATAGTGTTAAAGAGGCTCTGTTTGCACCCTGATGCTCTATCTCTCAGGTTCTTTAACATAGAAAGAGATCACTCAGGACAATCTCTTTAAATAACACTTCATAACTTATATGTATTAAATAACCAGGAGATATGACAACAGATTCTGAGAGAAATTGTGATCCTACTCAGATCAGAGATGTTGCTTAGAGCTTACAGAAGGCAGCCGTTTCCCTTTGGGCTCACCTCTCAGGAAGTGGCCCCCATTAACAGTTAAAAAGGCATTTTATATAATTCCAGTCTGCCACATCATCACAGCATTACATCATACACGTTAGCAGATAAGGACACATCCATGGATCAAGCCTTATCAAAATATTACACTTTGTTCTTAGCTGAAGGAAACCGCTCTCATTCTACTTCCAAATCTTTGCCACGTACAGAATGAAGATTATAACTGTATATCCAAACAGAGGAACTGTCTTAATTAGATTAAAACATCAGTTCTGACACGCAACAGGCAGCCAAAACCAAGGTGGTCAATGATAATTATCCTAACTATAACCTTACCTGAAAAAAAGTTTTAGGTAGAGTGACATTTATGTCTTTTTTTTTTAACCTGATTGTCTCAAATTAAGGAACCGAAGTTCTAATTGACTACAGGAAGCGGTGATGGACTGTGGACAGTTGGAGCAAAATGGGATTCAGTGATGAATCATGGCTCTGCATTAGGAAAGAAGAAAAAGCTAGATTTCTTTGTGCAACAAAACAGAAGATAAGAAAAATGTGTAGATTTCAACATTTATAGATGACCAGCTGCTATACCAGAACATTCGCTAATAGAGAAAAATATTTTCTGTCTGTGAAATGTGTGCCTCAAACATCAGAAACCACAGGATCGACTACAGGTGGTGCAACAAGGTGGCAACTATGATGCTTTTTTAAGGTTCATCAGTTTTTCTCAAGAATAAATGTCTCCACATTGTTTTTTTCCTGAGAAATATTTTGCAAGGCCAGATAGTTCAGCGACCGAAAACAGTTTTGCATCATATTTATCTGGCTTTTGTTTTAGCACAGCCGAGTAAACATGCTGTAATAGTTGGCTGAATGAGTTAGCACAACATGGCCTAATGATAACAATGTCTCAGAAATTCTTAAAGACAGAGGAAAAACACTAGCAAAGATATTTTTAGAAAAATAAAGCAATTTAAAGAAAAGTGAAATAGAATGACCAATTGATAAAATGAACAATTAGACATCAAACACGGTAAAAGCTTTGTAATTATTATTATTAATGGTCTCATATAAAGGTTATTGCTGAAAAAGATTTCTTATGGGTTTTGTTTGATCTTTTCAAATTGCTAAGAAATATTCTGATTCAATTAATGAAAGAAAAATTACCCTAAAATGTTTACAATCAGTGTTTCACACAGAGCCAGGTGGGTTTGGTAGAGCTTTTTTTCCCCCACTCTGAAATAAAATCTTGAGTTAAATCTGTTTACTCAGTTAATCTTTGTCACATAAAATGTTTATGATGACCTAAAACATGAAGTGTGAACTGTTGGAGGGAGAATTAAAGTAAACATTATTTTTTCACAGCTCTAATGTATAAAGCTGTCTACTGTGAACAATCAAACTGCTTAAAACGTAAAGACTGGACAGAAAACAACGAAGTTCAACTTTTATATGAAAATATGCCACACGTAATAATTGTGGAAGATTTTATAGATTCCTGCCTGCTGAATTGATGTTATAATTAAAGCCTCAAACAAAAGCTAGAGCTCAACATATAACCCAATGCAATAGCGCCCCCTACGTGTGAGATATTAAACTACAATAAAACACACAGCTGTAATGAAGCCACATTTTTCCCACTCTTAGAATGAAGAAAACATACGTTTAATTATTCAAATGAAAAGTAAACCGTGCACAAAGGCAGTTGAAACTCGATACGCAAAGAGTAAATCTGCCAAGAGAAAGACGGGAAGTTGGTATTTCTGCGTAAGAGTCGGTTTTCAGTAAACCAGCCTAGCTAGCGCTCTTCTATCCCAGAATATCCCCTCTTGCTCTTTTCTTACTTTGAGTCGTCTCTCGATAGACTTTCTGGATATCTCTGAAAAGCTGTTCTGCCACTGCAGGTAAAAAGGACCGCATTTTCACACATTTTGTTTCTGGCTCTACCGCACTTCATCAGCCAATAAGCGACGAGCATAATATTACGACTTCCGCTGTTTTAGAGCTCTGATGTTTTCCTTTCAAAATAAAAGTCGTTGCAGGTCTCCAAATCAAGTTTACTATTTCCGTACATGTTAATTTAACCTTTATAGGGCACTCAGTGAAATACTTTGAAAATCTAAATTTTAAGCCAATAGTGTTATGGGAATCCAGGACACCTTTTTTACCCTTGTAACATTCAAAAATATGGATATTTTGATGGCAAAAACTTGCCCAAATATATTTAAAAAAAAATAACAAAAGTACTTCTATAAGAAACACTCCTACCTCTAAAGGGCCCCTTCACCGACACCTGGTAGGCCCCCATCGGAATTTTGCGGTTATCATTAGACGGTTGATAAAAAAAAAAATACGCTCATATATGTTTCAAACCGCAATAAATATCTTAAAAGAACTACGTATTTGAGTATTTTAGTTTTTACACTAAGACTTGGAATTATGGGTAATCCAGAGGTGTTGTACTTCATATGGGGCCCACCCAGATAATGTCGCTTATGGGCCTATTATATATATATATATATATATATATATATATATATATATATATATATATATATATATATATATATATATATATATATTTATTTATTTATATATTTATATTGTGTTGTTAAGCCACTGGGTACAACATAACCTTAGAGGCATTAATGCTGATACTGGCACTTACATTTTGTAGTTTATAAACCTAAATATAGTTATTAACTAGGCTTCTTAACTTTTTAATGAGCTTTTTACCCGTTTTTCTTGAATTGTTTCTTTCAACTTAATTTATAGTAGGCAATATATCATTCCAGCGCTCATCTACTTGGTCAAATGCAATTGATCAAAAACGGTAACTTGGCCTATAAAGGGTTAAAACTGTAAAATAAGTTTTAATACTCATTGGTAACTCTTATTTTATTAAAAAAGCAGGATTATACAATACAAAAAGAGTTTTTTAACTAACAAACCTAAATTTTAACAAGATGCAATTAAACTGAACCATAAATACCACCTTACCTCGACTTACTTTCTAGCAAATGTAACTGTTTAGTAAAGCTCAGTTCCTTTTTAACATGTTGCTGCAAAGGGTTCTTTCTAGTTTTGGTAAGATGCTGTTGTCAAAAGTTAACGGTGTGTTTGCTTAAACCATGCTCTCAGGTTTAATAGGATGATGTGCCTTGTAAAGAAATTAAGTTTATTCATTAACGATATTTACTTAGAAAAAGGAAATGGATCAAAGAATTTGGAGATACCTGTTTATTTATGCCGCCTAATTCAACATAATATCTTTTAAAAAATAGGGTATTAGTTTTGCTTAGTGGCAGTTTTTTCTAAGTTACAAATGAAATTAGTGAAACTGTTGAAATAACTTAAGGTTTTATCAACAAGATTAATTCATTTTTTTCATATAAGGAAACATGGAGGAATGGTATTCCTATCAAAAGCTTATATAAAAATATTTTTTTATATAAGCTTTTCGAATGATGCAGCCATTGTCTTTGTTGGTGTTATTTGATGACAATAGTGTAAAAGCCATAGGTATAGTCCAGGTAATAAAACCTTTTTAAAATATAGAAAATAATCTGTGTGCAACTGTTGAAATTGGGAAAATTACCAGAGTGGTCAATAAAATCTCAACTCAGCAGATAGTTCAAGACAGTTCAATGATTTCCCCTAAAGGAATGTTTTTCTTGAAATTCAGAGTTTATTCATAAAAATTAGAAGAAAGGACGAACGATTCGCTTTAAATAATGTATGTCAAATTAAATGTGGGAAATCAATCTCAAAATTAATTTATTTACCAATGCAATAAAATTCTTTTTGGTTCAAAGATTTTAATGAAAATTGTTAATTTTCTCACCTTTAGCCATAGTTTGTGATGCATTTGCTTTTCTGTTGACCTGTGTACCAGATTTTGGTGTAAATACGGTGAAATTCCTCAGTAAAAAAGATTAAAGCAGATATTAAAATTGATCCCAAATATTCTATCAAGTTTTAATCTTAGGATAAACATTTTTCTTTTATTGTTATCTGTTCTGGACAATTCACATAAGGCAAGGTTCTCCTGGCTCCTCCCAGGGTTCTGAATTCATAGTTCATTTTCAATCATATTTAAAAATCTTAAAACAAGGTATAATAAAAACTGCTCTACTACTGATTTCCCCCATATTACAGGATTCCTAATGAGCTTTAGCAATTTTCTAGCATGTTATATATTCTGTGCTGATGTCAGTCTGTTCTGTATGTAATTCAAGTGTGAGTTGTTAGGGGGGGAAATGCAGCATAAATGGGTTCAAATATTTTTAGATCTCTAGAAGCCTTTATTTTAATTAATATTAAAGTAAGTAGACAGGAAAGATCAACAGGCCATGATTTGAAATAGCGGTGGCCAAGTCAAAGACCAAAGCCTCTGTACCTCAAAGAGTTTTTCTTAAAATTTTTCCAAATGTTCTATTAATATTTACGATCATTTTAAATCAATATTTTCACTTGTGTTTGTCCTATGGTTAAAAAAATAAAATCTTATTAGGTTAGAAAGGGGTGATAATGGTGTGGTCTAGGCATTAAACAGACCTGGTAAAAGCTGTCAGAAGATTTCATAAGCAGCTTCTTGATGGAGGCATTTTGAAAACCATCACCTTTAGCAAACTCAATAATTAAGGTTTCATTCTAACAGCTCCATAATTGATATGTTAAAATATCAGCTATAGCTCTCTTCCTTTGTGCAACTGTGCGAAACCAAAAAAGTGTTTAATAGAAGAAATGTAAAATGCAAAAATAAATTGCATACTGGTGGTCAGCCTGTTTATTCTGATAGACTGACATGCGTTATTACATATTCATTATACTGCAATCCATGACTTATTTAATAATGCAATAACTTGTCAGTAAAGATCCAAGTGACAGTTGCAAGAACACCTCAGCGACCAAGCATGATGACAGTGTGCAGTCAAAGATAAAATTCAAAGCAATCAATGAAAAGATGGCACATCTGTAAACCTACAGATCCGTCAGTGGTGGAGAACTGATCCACTTTATTCAATTGGTCTGAACTGTTGGATTAGCCTACTAAGAGACATTGTGCGATACAAATATTGCATTTTAACATCATAGGACACAAGGGGTTTCAAGTCTCTTTGCAAAAATGATTCACCACGGTGTACTATTTAAAAGTTTTAAAAAAATAAACCAAAGACGCTCCAAATCATTTTCTTTTTTCGGCTTCATGTCGGATTTAAGATTCAAGTTTGTAAACTTTTTCTTTTTTCTATCGCGGCGTCTGTAAACACAAAACATCCCTAAAAAAAAAAAAAATAACAGGATGAGAAACAAAAAAACAACAAAATAAATGTTTTTTTTTGTTATTAAAATTAAAGGAGAGAATATCAAGTTTCAAGGTTGCATTTCCCAACTAAGCAAAGTGAAAGCCAGAATACGGTGTTATACAGGGAAACCTTTGTGAAGTGAGCTACTGCTGTTTATGATGCTGATGAAACAGGAGTCGTCTCATAAGCTGTTGACAGACACAACGAAAGCAGATATTAAATTACCGAGATTCTGAATCACTGCGACAGCAAACTCTTAGACATTTGACGGTACCATGCACTTAAAACAGTAACTGATGCAGGTGTTAACACCAAAATATATTATGTACCAGCAGTCAAAGAAAGAGGAAGATCAGCTGCAAGGTTTTGATTGAGTGGTGGGGAGAAGTTAAAGCACATCTTAGTATAAATCCTGGGCTGGAGGTTGATTAAGTTACACAGCAGGTAGTATGCTTTCTGTTGTCCAAAGCCACAAAGCAAACAAAAAAAGTGCAACAATGGTGCAGAGCATTCTTTACGTTTGGTTAGATTCTGCGTTTTGTGTAACGAAAAGACATTTTTACACAGCTCAGATTGTTACAGACAGGACACAAAAAAAGAGGGACTATAGAGAAACTAATCCAAATACAACCAACGCATATCTGAGGAAAAAAAAAAAGTTTTTAAAGCTGCCTTCTCTCTTAACTCACAAGGCGTGGTGAAAATCATCCCTCAGGAAAGAAAAGAAAAAACAAAACAAAATCACATTTCAACAACGTGGGTTTTTTTTGTTTTTTTTTAAGCAAGATCTATTCTGGACAGCTTGGAAAGTTAAACTGCAGTAATGTAACACGCTGTGTTGTCTGCTCTATTGAAATAAAGAAAATAAAAACAAGAAAAATAAAAACCACATTGGCTCACTTTCATCATTCAGACAGGGTCCAGGAGTAGTCATAACCATATCGTCTCCAGCAAGCTTATTTCAGACTCGTCACCGTTCTGCTATGACGCAAGTGTTCTCAGCTTGTTGTGATGTTGTTTCTCCGTCACAGCGGGGTGAGAAGATCCCTCCGCTGTCTGTTTATTGTACGGTCCGTGCATTAGCGCTGCTGCAGGGTTTTTGTCTGCACCTTTCAGGCCGGGGCGGCGCCAGCCGTGATGGGCAGAGGGTGATGTTTTAACCACAGGTCCGGTCTCCGCGAAGCAACGGTAAAGAAAGATTTCAGCAGGTGATATTGTTCATGTGGGAGGCCGCGGGCCGGTTGGGCCGGGGTTTTAGGAGAGCAGCTGTGTTATTAAAAGATTACACCACAGCTCTTCCAATTTAAAGTGGATCGATTTAAAAGCGACGTCGAAATAAGAAACAATCGAGTTAAGAAAAACACTGCAAAAAGGTCACTATTTACAAATGTTCTCGACAGGGTATATCTTTACAGAATCAGACAAAATTCAGAAATAGCTTCTTATGCTTCTTTTTACACATGAAAGAACTTCTTCAGCTTGACTGCGCCGTTCGTCGTCCCCCTTCCGACTATGTGAACTTCTCCAACAGACTTGGTTAGAGCTCCCGGAGCAAAATCCAAGTCTTGCTCCGGAGAGCCCTGCCTGTTGCTTGCTGCTCCGAGCTAACAGCCAGGCGGCGCTGTAGCACCAAAACCAAAAAAAAAAAAAAACATGACGCCACCCTATCCGCTCCTCACTCGCAAAAAGAGTGAGGTTAGTTCTGGGAGAGGGGTGTGGGCAGAGCCGCCTGAGTGTGGGCAGTTCCCCTTGTATCTGGGCTTTCAGCCAGGTTCTGGTTCAGTCGTCACTGTCAGACAGGGTCTCGTACTGCTCTGACAGCAGAGGCTGCCACACTCTCTGCTGCCCGCCTGCTGGGGGCTGCTGCTGCTGCTGGCTCTGTATGGAGGGCGAGGCCATGGACGTGGGTGGTGTGTTCATCATCCGCATGGTCAGCGGGCTGTAATGAAACTGCATCGGACCTTTAGTGAAGAAGAGAGAAGAAGAATGAAAAACTATCACAGTCTTTTTTTCACAGGGGTCCAATGAACGAGCAGCTCACCGGTGGACGAGGGCCGTTCGTCCCAGGTCCACTGAGGCTGGGTCTGTCTGTGATAATCCCCCTCAGAATGGACGGAGGACACTGACGAGGGACGCTCCCCTCCAGGGTAGGCCTGACCCAGGTTAGGTGACTTGGATTTCCGACTGTTTGCTTTGCTCTGCTTCTGTTTCCCTGTGGAGTCACACCAGCAGCCATGTACAAATCAGAGACAGAGGGGTGGGGGAATTATTATTAAAGATGTTAAAAACAAATCCTTAAATGCAGCTCTGTTTCCACAGCTGTAGGACAACACGCACAAAAATCGCTTTTTAGGTTGTTACCGAGGACCTTTTATTGACTGCAACTAATTCTTAAATCTACTATGACGTCAGCCTAAACTGAATCCACACATTGTGTATCAATATCTGTTGTTACTGCTCGTAATCGGCGACTGCATTTAAAATACTTTATATTATTGGTGTATTATTATCTTTACTAATAATCAGATGCATTTTCATTAGCAAATAATTTTACATAAGGCTAGTCACCCACTTATGAAGCGCCATGACAGTCCGCCATCTTTAAAGTACGGACGCCTGCGAGGGATAAAATAGTGCGAACCTGTGGAATAACAACACGTTTCCTCCTGCTGGAAGTTCAGGGTGACTGAGATGTGGTAAAGATCATTATGAGACGCTAACCAAACAATTAAGTCTGAACTACTGCAGCACAATGAAGGACCGTGCAAATACAGCAGCAGCACAAAAAAACGGTCTCACCATCTCCAAGCTATCGGAAAAGAAAACTTAAGACAATGAAAACAAAGCCATAACAGAAAAAAAGAAGTTAAACTTCGGGCCAGCCTTCTCCAGGTAGGAGCTAATGAAGGTGAAAGATTTTAAAAGGGAAGCTGAAGTTACCGTGTTACTTCTTGACAAGTGAATTAACTGTACTGCCTCAATTAGCATAAAACTAAGTTTTTCCATTCAGTTTAATTAGACAGTGTAACTCGTTACCATGGAAATCATAACAATAGATGCTGTAAACATATACCAATCCTGCTGGGACAGAATTGTAGGTTTCAGTTTATTGAAGGTCACATTTTATTTTTAGTTTATTTTTGTCACACTAGCTACCAGCTTTTACAGATTTTGCTTCACTTCAGATCACATGGTTAAATCTACGTTGTTGAGGCTCTCTGACACACAGTGGCTACTAGGGGTGTAAATAATAATCGTTTTGTATCAATGCATCGATCCAACAGCCGACGATCCGATGCATCGACACGTCCGCAAGAGAATCGATTCATGTTTTTTTGTTTTTTTTCCTCCGGTCTATTTTTATCCATTTGCTCCTGGGCGTAATTCTCCCTCCCGTACTGCGGTGGCGCTAAACCTATTTTGCCCTTCTACCTCGCTTCCTGGTTATACTCTTACAGCAGTGTGTTGCAGTAAGCTTAACACAGATTCTTTTAAATTATGCTCAGTATTGAAGCGTGGTCTGAACTACACGCTGTGGGTCTAGATACGGCCGCGGCGGAGAGGAAGTGGGGGCGAGTTTAGTCCGACGACGGAGGGACATGAGGGCCAAAAAGAGCGGAGATCCAGGTGGAAAAAGGGTCCCAGCATTCTCGTGCACCTCGCTCTTCTAGCGGGTCAAACTTCATGAGTTGTTTTCCACAATTTCGGTCATAAAAACAAAACAAGCCGGCCTCCTGTCTGCTGCACTGTTTGCGGTCAACTACAATCTGGGAGAGGTGCAGCGGAGCGTCTGTGGAGGGGGCGGGACGTCTGGAGCCGAGGTATTTCATTGAACTCATTGCAATGATTATGTGCAGTATTTTTTGATGCAACTTTTCTACTTCTGTTATTTGCTGTTGTTTCTAAAAAAAAAAAAAAAAAGCATAACGATATTAAAGCTTTCATTGATTTATTTCAAACTGGAAACTTTGTTTAGCCTGTAAGGTCTTTAAAAAAATAAAATAAAAAAAAGTAATCAATTAATCGAATTGAATCATATCGTGGTGTATTTTTGAGTATCGAAAATAATCGAATCGTTGGGTCAGGAAATCGATATTGAATCGAATCGCCATGATGGGTGTGATTTACACCCCTAGTGGCTACTGTTGCCGCAATACGTGTTAGAAGCAGCAACCTGCTAGGGTTTAGTGTTTTGTAATTTTTAAATATCACTTTAATCCTAAACATAATCCATAGCCCCAACCAAACAACTTAGCACTGAAAAAAATACTTTTTACTAGTAAAATGTGATGTTCTCGCTCATCTGTAAGTTCACTCACACAGAAACCCTTCCCTGAATAATAAAAAGACAAAACATTAATAAAGATTACTTAGAAAACATTATTTCTTAACCAGGAAGACATTTTGAATCCTAAATTTGACCATTATTGTTTTTTTTTCTGCCCACTTTGTCATCTTTAAGAATTCATAAATTTTAAATAAATGTGCTTAGATTAAAAGCTGGATTTACACGCTTTCCTTGGGATATTAGGTCTCAATAAGGCAGCATACTTTGATTTTAATATTTCACATAGTAAATGTGGCCACATCTGAACTCAGGGTCTTAGTTTCTCTTGTGTTGGACCTACCCATACTGGGAGACGCGCTGGACTCCAGTCGGCTGTCGCTGCCTGTGCTGGACGCGTTGCCTGTGACAACGGCTCCTCCTCCTCCCTGATGCTCCTCCTGCCCCCCCTCCAAGCTGCCCATCAAAGCCTTGCGGATAATGTCCTCCAGGCCCAGGTTGCTGGCCGGGTCATTAAAAGACTGACTTCTTGGGTTGATGCTGCCTGCAGTTTACAAACAACATATCAGCAGTAAGAGAAGAAACTGCAATGAAAGGTTAAGTATCTCATCTTTGGCCATTTTTTTGTGCCTACCGGAGGTGGTAACAGCAGGTAGATTGAAAATCTCTGTGCCGGGCTGAGCATTTCCTGCAATGCCATGAAAAAGTGTTTAGGAAGAAATGGAAAAGAAGAGCGGATAGTGTGAGACGTGCTGTGAGTGAGAAGAGTTGGAGGGAAAGATGAGGTTAAAGAAAAGTTAAGAGCAGACCCACTTACCAGCTTCAGAATCCCCAACACCAGAGGTGGAGTTCAACTTCCGAAAGATTTCCTGCTTTTTGGATTTCACCATCGGTGAGGTGCTCTCCAGCTTGGTGAAGAAAGAAGGCAGGTAGCTGGCGCTTCCGGGGGACCGTGAGTCAGTCCTTGGAGAGCACAAAGGACAGACAGAGAGCGGCTGAGGCAGCAGGCCTTTCTGACTACACGGTTTAAGCTACAGGTGGAGGAAACTATCCTACAGGAAATCTACTTTACAAGTTGGTTCCATCAAATGTATAAAGACTGATTCTTTAAATGTACATTCTAAGCTTCAGTTAACACAATGATTTTTAAGAACATTTCTGACTTTGTCCAGAATCAGCCAGGATCTCTAAAAGTTTTCTCATTTGTGTTTAAAATGAAGGCTATAAATGTCTTGCTAGAGGCGGCCTTTAAACTGCATACCTGATCTCAGAGCTGTCCGTGTCTCGCCTCTGGGATGGAGGCCCTCCAGCCTCCTGTTTGTCCATGCCCTGGTACCCCTGCGGAGGAGAGATGGGTTCGTAGTTCTCCATCTGCCTGCCTCCTCGCTCTGGAGACTTACCGGGCCTGAAGGAAAAATAATAATTCAAGCCATATTTGAGGAGTATAAATGTCTCCTGTATTTTACTTTAATAATGGAATACCTGGCCCTCGACTTATCCGAGGCGTTTTCTGGAGAAACCCTGCTGGAGGGTCTCTGGTGGTGCGGAGCCTGGTTCTCAGGACTGTAGCGGCTGGGGGCTTTGACCCGACTTGAAGACGACACCGGTGGGATGGAGCTCTGGAATGTGGAGGGAGCTGAAGAGGAGACTGGGGGGTCTTGATTCCTGGCAAAGTCTTGGGTAATTATATGCTGTGTTCCAAAGACAGACAAAAAAAAAAAAAAAACAGGTTAGAATTAGGGGTAAAACTGGGAAAACGAATAAATAATCTGTATGATTTCCATCTTTACAGATTGTCTTCTTTAACATTTTGGTTGAATTAAACTCTGAAAAGTTCTGATAAGTTTAAAACTGTCAGCTCGTGCATTTCTATTATTTTTCATTACTGTGATCGAGGAGTGAAAGGAGGAGGTGCTGCCTCACTTCCTGTACGTATAGCTGCCAGTTTAAGACTGATGTCACAGGAATGAACCAGGTGAGCAGAGGGACAGAAAAGCAGTTTAGGTCTGATTTAGGTTTGGCATTGAAGTTCACTATGTTTCAATGTCTAATGTAATGGTAACACTAAGAGTTATTTTGTTACCATCAATCAGCTGAAAATATAAATATGACCCATTTACCAACATTCAGACTGTTTTTTAGGGCCTGCACCTATGATTATTGTAGGACTCCATTAAACTATTGATATGTTTTCCAATTAGTCTAAAAGGAGATATTTTAGTAAATTTATAAATAAATATTTGGTATATTGAAAAAAGAACATTATTTTGCATTCCAAATTAACTACAAATGGCAAAACATGTTAAAAAATCGGTACATGTACATAATATACACTATATATACATTTAATTGTATATATTCTAAGCTAATAAATGTTTCTAGTTTATATTTGCAGATTTTTGTCTTATTTACTGCCGTTATTTTTCAGCAAATGGCCTGTTTACAGTCATTGTACCTTTATTCTAGGCAACGATCTCATTACCAAATTATTTAAGTATTTTAATTGGACATGTTTGTCTGGTAAAGTACCTTGAGAAGACATTTTAAATGTAAATAAAAAGATATAAAACCTTTATGCTAAGTGGAAACAAAACTTTTGACTTTAAATTTACCCCAAAAATAAAGCTAAAATCTTTCATACATTTGAATATCTTCATTATATATTCTTGCGCTACAAATAATTTAATCTCTTACCGAAATGTGGTCAGCCAAGGTCATGACTCTGTGTGTTTTGGGGACCTGCGAGTAGCCGTCTGCCTGGGAGGAGGGGGGCTGCGGGGGCTCTACAGGCTGCCGGTATCGGCCCATCTCGTAGGTCCGCATGCCAACTGCAAGGTCGAGCAGGGACACGAACGTCTCGTTAACATCATGACGTTGAAGTGAGAGGTGATGAACTGCAAAGGGTGCAGTTCATGCTTCAGGCTATAAGTAGCTGCTCTACATTTGCTGGGAGGCGGCTCAAATAACACGGTGCAGACTGCTGACCGAGCAGTCCGACATCAGGATGCCCGGTCTTTAGCAGTCTGCTCGTGAGCTCTATAACTTCCCCAGCTGATTATCCCACACAGCTGGTGGAGACATGTTTTATGATCAAATTAAAAACAGTTTATTGTCATCCCACCTGCTGCTTGCTGTTGTGCGTCTTCCGCTTTGTCTTGCTGGGGCTGAACTGGAGAGCTAGCAGGACTTATGACCTCAATGGCTCCTCCAGCAGTGTTATCATAGCGATTCGATGACACTGCAATAGAAAGTACAAACACAAGGGTAAAGTTTCACACAAAGATAGAAGGAAGGGAGCCTAGTCACTTCTACTTCTAATTAAATTATGGCACCTTGTCGGCTAACTGAGTTACTGTTAATCACTTCACCTTGTTTCCTTTTATTTGTTAGTAAAATAGCAGCTTTTCTTTATTTACTGCAACAAGACCTGAGGTACAGCATAGCCTATGCACAACATGAGAAAACAAGTAATGAAGCAAAGAAACCTCAAGCGGAGGTATGAAAAAAAGAAAAAGAGAACTCTGAGATTATATATGAAAAATGCAAATATCAAACACCAAGAAGGATAACAGACATGAATCCAATATGAATGCTGGTGTTCATTTAAAGCTGGAGCTACAGCTTTACCAGTTGACAAACATGCGAGGAAGTTGGCCAGCAGATGGCGATGGTGCACAGCAAAGTTTATGCCTGCTGATTCCACATTTTCAGGTTCAGAAAGGACAAAGTAAACACTGTCAGAGCAAAAGTCTGTCTTTAAGGTTTGCTTTCAAATGAAGTTAAGGTTATTGCTGGTTTTTAATTGACGTATGTGACCAGGCTCCTTTAGAGGAGATCATATCTGTTCTTCAGATGCTGATTCACCATTTAAATTTAAATTTCAGAGACACTCACGGCTGCTGGAAGAGTCGGAGCTCTGGGAGCCTCGTTCCCTTGACTCTTTGTCCGAGGCTATCTGCCGTGTGATGATGACATCGATAAAGTTGGCGGCTGTGATAGTCGTCTTTCCGTGAGTCCGAAGCTCCTCTTCAATACGGGACTTTGTCTGAGGACCTTTCTCCTTACCCCCCGCCCCAGGGCTCTCGGCGTAAGCAGGATGGGGCTTTCCTCCGGGCAGAGACATGGTGTTATAGGGAGAGTTCAGGGATCGCCTTTCTGCTTCCTGCTGCTGCTGTTCAGAGTGGGTTGGCCCCCGCCGCGAAGCAGGGGAAGGAGACATGTTGTCATCCCGCTCATGTTTGCTCTCCTTAACCTTGCTGACGTCCATCTGAGGAGCGGAGGCCGCGGCGTCCACGAGTGCGGCCAGGGCATCAGCCGCAGTGCTGAAGCGTGAGCTGCTCGGTGACGCTGATGTTGCCACAGGCGGATGGGGTCTAAAGGCAAATGAGAGTATTTTTCCAGCGGTTCATTAAAGATGCTTCCACTTCAGGAAAAAGCTTTAAAAGAAAACTCATGAAAAATTGACAGGTTTAAAGTGAGTTCATGATGGAGCTGGTAAGATCTGTTCTGAACCTACATTAGAGAGGTGATGACACTCTTCCCCTGGAAGATGCTTGGCCGCTGCTGAACGACGACTTCCTGAGTCCTGAGGGATGGAGAGGGGGAGTGCAGATAACCTCGACTCCCCGGCCGGCCCGGCTGCTCTGGGGCACCTTAATAAAGCGGAAAGATGAACTTTGCAGCTTTCCTCCAGAGATGACAAACAGAGCCACGGCTGGACGACGGCTCACCTCCACGCATGTATTCATTGGTGCGGTCCCTTTCCCGCTCTCGTTCTCTCATGTCCTGTTCCCTCTCCCTCTGTTGCTTTTCCAGGTCCTTCTCCTGTTGCTCTCTCACCCGCTCTCTCTCTGCACTAGCAGCAAGGTGGGCTTGGTGGCCTGAAGAAAACAGGGACAACATAGACACAAAACTTCAAACTTCAGACCAACATGACCTCTAACTCCTTGGATATTGTTACTTATGATGAGCTTGGCCAATAAAACAAAACAGTGAAAAAAGAGAAGGGTGTGGATTTTTCCGACCAACACTACGCTGTTAAACAGGGTACCATCTGAATACTGCATTTTTGCACCATATATATTCATTGCACTGCGCTGTACGTCCAAATAAATGCCCTTTTCCCACCAAGTCTCTCTTACACTGTTTATATTTGATCACTGCTGCACTTTATGAATGGAAATGTTCTTTTTCACCGCTAAGCTGCTGCTCATTTGCTGTCGGAAAGCTATATAAACGAAATTACCTTTTGTATACACTGTGTATACAAAACGACAATGAAAGTTGTCAAAGTCTGAATATGTCATCATTTCTCTTTTTCCTGATATCCCTAAATAAAATGTTGGATTATGTTCAACAGCAACATGGAGGCTGGGAGGAAGAGGGAAGCTTAATACAGAGAGATCCTGGATGAGATTCAACCTCCAGCAGGAGTACGACTGTCAATATATAGCCACATTCAAAATGGAATAGTTCTGATCAAGCTAATGTTAAAATGGCCTAGTCAAAGTACAGATCTAAATCTATTCATGAGTCTCAGGCATTATCTAAGAGCAGATTTTTACAGATGCTCCCCATCCAACCCTGAGGCTGAGCTATTCTTCAAAGAGGACTGGATGAACTTTTTCTGATGTGTAAAGGTGAGTGAAACATCCAACAAGAGACCTGCAGCTTTAACTGCACCAACAGGTGGGTCCAGAAAATGAATACAAAACAACAACACAATCTAAGATGCCGTTTTAAAAGAAAGAAGTTAAAGAAAAATCCTGTATCAGTTTCCTTCAGCATCATCAATAGTTCCAACTGTGTGATGCTCTGGAAATATAGGAAACCGCTGCACTCAGAGCTGCAACCCCACCGCAGCAGAAAGATGAGCGCTCCTGCATTGTTATAATTTAGAAAAACACAGTTGCTGCACACCTGCATGCAGTGAGAGAGAAATCTGCAAATTTGGACACATGCAAAAGATTATGACTGTTTCCAGACAGTTAGGTATTTTTTGCAAATCTGCTGCTGATGCCCTTTAAAGCAGTTATGAGTTAGAAAGCCAGTATTCAGACTTAAAAGTTAAGAAATTAAACAAATGCAGGCAGAAATCTTAAAACTGTGAAACCAGAACTAGAGTGTAATTTCATTCTTCCTGAACCGTTTAGACAGAAACTTCTTCATATGAATTCGTTCCCAGTGTGACCCCTGAGCTTTCTGAGCAGATGAGACTCGCCCTGAGTGTTTGTGGCAGTAGAAACAAGGGAAGACAGGGTGTAGGTTTGGAATAGGGAGGGGTCCTCACCTGGCGATATGGAGGTTGGGTTGAAAGCCCTAGGAGGGAAAGGGGGCTGAGCTCCAGAGAAGTAGGCGCTGCGTTCCAAAGTGGGAGTACCTGTTCCCCCAGGGTGAGGCAACAGGATAGTTGGAGGCATCTGGTTTAGATCAATATTCCCTTTTTACAGACAGAAGCAAAGGGCCAACGGTGAACAACAAGAACCGATCCATCAATTTCTGAAACTATGTAAACACTGAGCTGTCACCCATCACCTTCATCCCAAATACACTTTGATTAGAAAGCAACAGGGCTGCACGGAGCGGCATAGAGGCAACCACTCAGCAGATGGAGATTTTTTGAGTTCTACTTCCGATTCAATGAAAGAGTAAGAAGCCAAATGAGTTGCAGCCCCGACTGAATGAGCAAATCAGCTGAATTAGGACACTTATAAAGGTCATTTGCTTCTGGGCGTCTGCAAAAGGTAGCCACTACTTCACAAGCACACAGTTTGCATACTACTAGTCTGCCGGGAAACGTACCTCGAGGGGTATACGGGATGGCAACAGTTTGTTCCCGTGGTGACAGTCCTCTGGCCATGTCAGGCCGAGGGATGACTTGCATCTGCTGCGAGGTGATATAATCATTGAAGATGGTCTGCCGCGTGTTTTCCACAGTGTACAGCGGGTAGTTGTGGTAGCCTGTCGGTGAGGGCTGCCTGGAGAACATGAACGCTGCTGCAGAAGAACAAAAACGAAACAATGAATATGAAGAGAAGGCTCCATCGCTGACGTAAATCGCTGAAAGAGATCTGGTATACTTGATGACTATGAATTACACCACCTGATCTGCTTTCATCAGTTTGCTCACATTTAAAGACCTGCTTTATTTATAGCTGAAGTGGAAAAAAATATCAAATCATTAAACACCGTACCAGGATCCAGCCCTCTGTGGCGGAAGGCCAGCGTAGGGTCCAGGTGTGGGGGCAGGTGGGTTTGATACACCTCTCCAGGAACCACAGGCCGGTGGTGGGGGTCAAAAGGGCTGTGGGAGGCGACAGGGTCGCCTACTGACACGGGGGACTTGGATGGGATGCTGTCCCTCTGCGTCGGGGTCATGGCGCTCTTTCTGTCATGCCCAGCAGATTTGGAAGCGCTCATGCCCCCTTCATGGAGAAACAGACTCAATGAGTTGATAGAACGATCTAACACCATATCCTCGCAGAGAAAGCACCAAATTAACAATCCGTTGCACCATTTAACGATTGCAGAACTTACCTTCAGAGGTCCGGACCAGCAGAGGGGATCCTCTGGAAACAGGGTTGGTGCTGTAGTTGACGGGGGTCCGTCGAGCGCTGTTGTCTTCATACATACTGGGGCTGTGCTGGGATTTGCTGGCCTCCTGGTGGGTGGAGCGCAGGACGGAGGCAGTGCTGTTGACCACAGAATGCCGCACCGCCTTGCTCTCTTCGTACTTGGCTCGCTCCATGGCCTCCAGCTGAGGCATGCTGTGGGGAAGCTTGCTGGGGCTGGTGATCAGGGACTTGACATTGTGTTTGATGGTGGGCTGGCTCATGGAGTAATTCTGCCGAGGAGAGGACACAGCGTTAAAGAGAACGAATCCAACGATAAGAAATGTGCTGGTTCATTGCGTTACAGCCACATCTCAATAAATCAGAATATCATCCGAGTTTTTTTACATTTCAATGGATTTGATTTGTAAACTGACTTAATGTTTTCCACAAACCTGAGAGCTTGTGCCCTCTATCACCCTCCTGTCTGGCAGTTCAGGAGTTTTGCACAAGTCCTGTCCAGGTTGGTCCTGTCTGGGGATTTCATGAATGGAGCGTCCCCTCTCTTTGATCGTGTTGACTCCTTCGTACGGCTTGCCTTTGCCAATAACCTCTTCAAACGTCGGGATAGGTGGGCTTTCTGTTTTTATCCGCTTGTATTTCACAGCATCCTCATAAACGTCAGCAGTAGTTCTCGGCGTCCCTGGAAAAAGGTTTTAAAAAATAAGGAAAAAAAACACCAAAAACTTCAGCCTTGATTCATTCCTGATGCAAGAAACTTCAAATGTTTGCCAGATTTACGGCTCTCCACCTTGCATTATGGATCCAGGGATCAGAGGTCTTTCCTTGGAGTCTCCATGATGCCCTTCTCTTGGTAGAGCTCTGCTAATCAAGCCTGTGAACAAAGAATTACTCATTAAAAATTAGAAAATACATTTATGGTACTCTCAGATGCTCCTAAACTAGCAGCCTTAAGCCCCAAATTACTTCATTAGGATACTATGTGAAGCAGCTAGGACAAAATTGCAAAGCAAAAGTAAAATGAAACAGATTTAAATATTTCTTTACAAATAATCTGAATAGTGCGGAGTAAATCTCTAAACAGCCTCCAAGCTGCTGCTTTGCAGAACCACCTTCCACTCTAGTTGCAGCCTGTGGACTTTATTCACCAACTTTGCTTTTCTAGAGACTAAAATTCTTCATAATTCCTCTTTGTGAAAATAACCAACAGACTTGTGAGAAAAATGTTAAGATCTTTTATATTTTATAATCATTCCAAGACCAGGCGTAATCTAGATGGAAATTCACCGAGGGCTTTGATATTCAACAAGAGGATGTTATCGGATGTGTAGAAAAGGAGAAGACCAGGCATCCTTAGATCTAGGGCTGGGCGATAAACCGGATTTTTTATCGTTACCGTGATTCACTACGATAACCGGCGACAATATCCCCATGTCGGAAAAATAATAAAATTAATTCTGCCGTTTTTGTCCTGTGTCCGAGGATGGCTGGTATTTCCTTTCCCTTTAAGACGCGGTGACATGTGTGTTATCACGTGACTCCGCCGATCCAGTCAGAAGCGTAAACAAAGAGAAATGGCGGATGAGCCCATTGAAGAAGCGTGTAACACAGCTGTAAATGAAACTACATCATTTAATCCTGTGTAGCCGAGTGAGAGCAGAGATGAAGCTGAGTGCGCAGAGAAGTGAAGAGCGCGTTGTCAGAGTTGAGCGAGCGGCAGACCAGTTTTGAGCCAGGGTGTGTGAGTTTAAACGATGCACATTGTTCTCACTGCACGGCAAGTTCAGTGGCACCAAAATTACGCCATAGATGTTGAGCAAAATCATGAAATGCAAGGTTTGTCTGAAAACTGTAAGGAGTACCCAAAGAAACACATCCAACCTCCACCCCTACAGCACAACCACGCTGTTGAGTTCTAAGATGTGCAAAAGGCTCCATTAGCTTTGCGCAACAACATTTGCAAGAGAGGTAACATTTTTCTCCTGTTCAATGAGACACTGTTAAATGTTTAAAGCTGAATGGGTGCAAGACTTTAATATTTAATAGAAACTAATATGTAATGTGCTTTATTCAATAAATAAAAATAATTTATATTCATCAAGGTAAAACTGTCCAATTTATCGTGATATTGATTTGAGGTCATATCGCCCAGCCCTGCTTAGATCATGTGGGGTTGCTTTGGAAGATGTGGTCAGGAGCCTGAAAGGGGAGTGGAGAGCAAGTAAAATGGATAAACTCTGTATTAGTGAAACCTGGTTTCCACCTCGGCTCCTGGCTTCTGCTTTGGTTATTTGCCCTGTTTCTCCCCATCATCTCTGACCAGCTCTGTTCATGAAAAGAAGCAACCACTGCCGTATTTTCCTGTGGGGATCATCACAATATGAACGGCTAGTTTTCCTGTTTTTTTTCAGTATTTTATTGTCATTACGCTGTCACAAGTAAAGAGCAACAAAATGAACTCTCAGCATTTAACCCATTCCCCCCTTTGGGAACAGTGGGCTGCCATTATGCTGCACCCGGGGAGCAGTGTGGGGGTAAAGAGTCCCCATGAACTCCAACATGAACTCAGGGTTTTAGTCGACCCCTTGTTTCTTGTTTTTACTCACTTAAAAACATCTAATTTTTATAACCCTTTGAGTTTAATTTTTTAATCTCTTCGCTTAGTGAGTATTTTAACATATATTTCATATCTTCGCTTCATCTTTAAAGTCGTAGAGAAGTGGCTGTTCCAACCGTTGCATTTTCGAATTCTCCCGAGTGGTGACCGAGTCAGACTAATAACAGACCAAAACATTTTCTTTTTTTTTTTCTTAAACTAAGATAAACGCGAAATTTTTATATATTTTTTGTATAATTGCTGCTCTTTCAGCTAAAAACATGTTTAAAAGTCTCTATACACCAGTTAACTATTGATGGATTACTAAATTAGATGCTGATTAATTGTGATAAATAACAATTAATCTGACTGTTTCAGTGCTAAACCCATCACTCTATGATCACCATGGTTTACCGTTATGGTGAAGTTTTATATGATTTAAAGTCCAAGGGAAACGGCCATTCCAACCGTTCTCCCGAATTCTCCCGAGTGTTGCACGACTTTACACCAGTGAATAAAGTGAATGTGATTGGTCGTTTATCAAGGGGTCAAGAATATTGTGGCGGGAGGTTCGCAAGCATGCTTGGTTGTGGCCGGTGTCTCAGAAGCATTTTGCTAACCAGTTAGCAACTTAGTGCTAGTAGGTTCCCAATGGGAAATTCCATTGGGACCAAGTAGCATCACATTGGTGACCTAGCAACGACACTGTCAAGGAACACTATGGACAGCAGAAACACAGAGTTTTGTGTCGAATGTCGTGGATGAGTCTCCTCCGTCATACATTTTTTATTTAGAGGAGGAAAGCGGGGACAAAGTTGTTATGGAAGAAGACGCCAGGGCAGCAGAAGCTTGTTTTGGTGTAGAAGGCTTACAGCCGTACATGTTTGAGCCCTTGTCTCATAACGCTGCCAGTTCTGTTAGCTCTACGCCTGCCGAAGACACAGACGTCCATCCCTGTGAACACTATGATGTAGCTCAATGGTTAAGTAAATAATGATTCTTATTTCTTATTTCAACCGTTGCGTATATTAGCTGCAACATATGAATCAAAATCCTATGACCGAAAAAATTAAGATTGACAGATGACCGTTGATATATGATTGGCCGAATTTAGGTGTTCAAGCTGACGTATAACTAACTGGCCTGCATAAGATAACGAAAAAAAAAACAGATTTTAAGACAGGATTTTTTTTTTTAAATAGTAATTTTCTAAATTTTGGGACAATATCGTCTGATAAAGAGTACATTTATATACATGTTTAAGCCTGAATGCTTTGACATTTAAATACGACTTCCCTACGACTTTAAATATTTGTTCTACTTTTGCTTTGCTGAGGTTTCTGATCCATCTATCTGAGCTGTGGATGTCTGATGACCATCCTGTTGGTTGGACTAGTTTCTTTTTAGTGGCCTAACATTAATGGACCTGATAACCACACTGATAAGAAATTTATTTGCAAAGAAAATGTAATGAACATAGATAGCTTTACTTTAACTTTGCTTTTATGCGGTACCACGTTAACCCTTCACATAAAAGCCTCCAAAATGCATTGCAGTGAAATGTGAAAATGTGTTTGATAAAAGGATTATTGCAGTACCCTCAAATGGAGCCCCCTCTCTGCCATGATGTGCTCTTCCTATAGGTCCCTCCATCATGTCATGGCTGCGTTTCAGCTCATGACCCGTTCTGGGGCTTCTTGTGTTTTCCCTGGGGTTCTTTATACCTATTGGACACGAAAACATCAGGCCTCAATGGGTGGTAAAGAAATACAGCTATCATGTGTTTAAATGATAACAAAGTGACATACCATCGTAGGAGAGGATGTGGCCACTTTTTCCTTCATAAATAACTTTAGCCAGCTGCTCTCCCCTGGCCTTATCTGGGCTGCCCAGGTCCTCTGTAACCAGCTTTGTGATTGTGCCTTTCAGGAGGTCAGCAGCTATGCTAGGCTGGGACAGGGCCGGAGTGCCCTGTTTCATTGGAGAGCAAAACAATGTTAGGTGAATAGAAACAAAAACAACATTTTTAAAGTAGTTTATTACCTGAGTGATGGATCCTCTGAAAGCAAGGCCCTCGCCAACCTTTGATGGGTTGCCTCTGCTGTCCTGGATGGAGGAACCTGCAGAACCAGGTTGAGTGGCAAAGGAGAAGAGTTACGATAAAACACTGTTTCTGATGATAGATGTAACTAAGTGCTTAACTAACAAAAGCCCTTTTACTATCTTGTCAGTGCTGAGTTCTTGTTTTTTTCTTTTTCAAAGTTTTTTGATGCTTTTTCACAGTTTATATAACCATGAGAACAATATTAGCTGGGTCATGCTGGCTGGTACCACAGGAAAATGTTAAATATGGCATCAGATTTATGATACAGGGATATCTGAAATGTTTGCCCATATAGGCTAACCTGGATCAATCTGAGCTTTTTGAAACCTCATCTAGGAATCACTGATCCAATTCTACCTAACATCAAAGTTGTCTTTAGAGACTAAAATGATTAATGTGTGTACATTCGAGAGTAGATGGAAAAACAAGGTATGATTAAGTTATGGACCTTTTAGAAAAATTTTATCTTCCTCCACAGTTAAAAAAAAAATATTTTCCACATTATATCAATGCTTTTAATTCTTATCCAGACAATAAAATAATATAAAAGTATTTTAACTTTTCTTGGACTTTTTAGGACATGCGCACTGGTTAATGTTCTTGATGTAATCCCAGATTAAAATGTTTTTCCCACAGACTGCTGGAGAGGAAATGCCACAGATTTGAAATATAACAACAGTAAGCTTATACTGCAGCTTCCAAATCAGCCCCAAAGCCAAAAAGCGCATAGTGATCCTTATTCTCTTCAGAACTAAAAGCCATCTTCTCTTCTGGTCTCTGTCTGATGAGGCACGCTTCTGTTTTTATACTAACTTGGGTTTTAATGCTGATATTTTTGGGTAATCATGTGATGATCTTTGGACCTACCGGGCTTGTTGGGATCCATCTGCCGAGGCAGCCCCAGAGAGATGGAGCCCACAGAGCTCTTAGTCCCCTCTGGCCCATAGATGGCATGCGAGGGCAAATATGTGCCAGGAGTTCCCTGGAAAAGAAAGCGGACAAAGAGTTCATCTCATGTTCAGGTCACAGCGGTTATGAGAACAATAAAGTGGTGTCAAGTGATACCGATAATCTTTATGGCGTCAACACCATCTCACATGGTAAAAAAAAAAAAAAAAAACTAACCAAGAAAACTCATTTAATGAGAATATTGTATAAGTGCGGTATCAATTACAGCCCTAACCCTAGAAAGAAGAAATGCATGAATAAAATGAGATTTTAAAGAGAGGAGTGTGTCATACTGAAGTAAACAAACAGCTTTAACTGTATTTAAACTGCCCACGTGAAGTCTGTTACAGCACTGCGGCTCCACGGAGAGAGCTGAGGGCCTTACCTGGGAGATGGAGCCTCCGTGGATGAAGGAGGGCTTGTCTGTGGGCTTGTTGGTTGGAATGAGCGGAGGAGGAGAGGGAATGTTAGGAGGCCGACTGTGTCTGTTGAACGGCAGACGGACCCCGTCGTTCATGCTCTGGACCAGCTGGTTGGAGGCGGGGTGAAGGACTGGAGACAAAGAAAGACAAAAACAGGAAACTCAACAACTAGTTAGATTATTTTGGGTTTTTATTCATATCTTATTGCAGTGTTGTATAATCCTCTTGGCGGATATTAAAGAGTTCCTCCATTCTTGAAAATATGAATATGTTAAAGTGTGCAATGAAATCATTGCAGATGAAACTATATCTAACAAAAGAAAGATTTATTGTGTCTACAATGGAAATCACTTAAGCCTTTCTTAACGTCTCTTGTTCCTTTTCCAATAAAGCCTGCAGGAGCAAATATTCAGAGTCATTCTGATAGCACTCTCGAGCGGTGAGGTAAGCCTCCAAGTTTAATGGCCTCTCTTCAGACAGAAGTAACTGGCCTGTGCTCCCTGTCTGATTTAATGCACCCTGGGAAAGCAGAGCAGACAAAACAGTTCATAACAAACCACAGATACACGGCCACTCAGACTGAGCAGCCTCTCTGCAGGGAGAGCACCTCGTGTTCTGCACTCGGCAAAATAAAAAATGCAAACGGAGGGGAGATTTCTACCAGCGGCCGCAGATGGCACGATGGCGGCTCAAAAAGGAAACTAATAAGAAGTTTTATAAAGCCCTGCAGCAGTGCGGATGTCTGTCAGAAGTTCAGTATTAGAAAGAGAAATGCAGAAATGGACACAGCTAACCCAAATGGCTCCGACTTACTGCTCTGTTTCCACTGCTTTATAAGGAACTATACTAACAATTTGCAGTTGCCTGTGTACCCATTCACTGCTGCAGCACCATTAAAACAAACCTGAATACAGATTTAAAATTCAATTTAAGGTAGAGCTTCCATATTGGTCATCTTATTGATTGATTGATTTTATTGAAAGTTAAGAAAAAATATCCTAAAAGTGCTCCATCCAGGTCCTACTAAAACTGCTTAATTCAAAGTCTTTGATAGACAAAAGAACAAACATAACAAGGTTGTTTTTTTCCCCCCAAATTGTAAACTGAACAATATATAAGCTGATATTTCCGGTTAATAGAAGTATCTTTTGTCTTCCTTGTATCAGTACCTTCCAATCTGGCGTACATTACCAAATTCATTAGGGCATTCTGCACCCATGCCTTGAGATCATGTGAAGCTTATGCATTTCTCCTTCCTTCATTTGCCAACTATTGTTCATTTTTTGTTTCATTTGTGTTTCTTTATTTAAATGGGGACTTTGATTAGCATTTTTTTTCATTCTGCTATTTATATTATGTAAATAAATGAAGAAAAGGATTTATCTGCTTCAAGAATCAGCCCTGGCAAAATAATCGGCAAAAACGTATCGATTCGGTTTCGGGATCGGTTAGACTGATTTCATTATAATTGGTAGCAGCCTTAAAAAAATAATTGTATCAATCAAATTCTAGTCCAAGTGCCAAATTTGGACAAAATTTTTAGTGTTTCACTTTTTAAAAGCCGCACATAATTGTCTGGGATTCGGAAACAGTGACTTTTAGGTAAATCAACTCTAATGGATGAGTGGACAGTTGAAAACATAAAAACAAATCCATTTGTCTTCTGATAAGTGAATGCACCATGCCTGAAGGCAAGCATTGCACAAAGCCAATAAAACAACAGGGCAGAGGTTGTTGCCGAGCACCAGCTAGTTTCAGCATCAGTGAGTGACTCTAGAAATGAGGTCAGAGGAAAAACAGGGATGTTTGCTTCAAAGATGCAAAATGTCATTTTGGAAGGGGGACCTTACAGAACGTAAATATAATCAATAGTAATACTAATCATGATTTAGGTAGATGTAAGAAGCTGCTTAAAGGAAAGTTCACATTTCTATGACGCATCTATCTTTGAAAGAGAGCTACAGTTCAAACAGATTACAGGAAGGCTGAATCAGAGCATTTTATCCTTTTAGGCTTTAAAACTTTTGTGTGGGGAGGAAAATGATCTTAAAAATCCCGGCCATGATTTAGACGTAAACATTAACTCAATAAAAATATTCTCTCAGTTTAAATAAAACTAAACGGTAAAACTCAGCTTTAATGCCCATTTATCTTTCTTACACTAAACATGAGAAACAATGACAAAAAATTATGATTCTGCCATAATGGATGTCAGGAAGCCATCAGGTCAGCTGCTGCCTCAATAACAACCTTACAGTCGTCTACTTCATTATTCATAGACTTCCAACATAGCTAACGCTAACATCTAAACCTAATGCAGGAAGCTTGTTTTATTTGACGGAATTATGATGGCACCTGTAGAAGACGGTGCAAAAGGTGGATCATTAAAAAAAAAAAAAAAAAAAAAAAACTTCCTCTAGATCATCTGTTCCTGTCTAAATAATCAATAGATACTTTTTTTATTGCATTAAAATGCTGCTTCTAATGGCCAACCAGGCTTTTTGTGTGCTTACAGTTCTATTTCTTAAGATTTGTTTCTGGGTTTGGAAGGCCTATTTACCCTAATGCTGGGCTCCCTCCACATATCAACTCTACAATATAGCGTACATCAACCTGTGATAAAACAGTTTTCATTGAACTGTTCATGCCGTTATAAAAAAAACAGAGTTCTAATTTCATGTTCGTCAGCAGCATCACCAACACTGGCTGGTAGATTCAAGTAATATTCATATTAAAGTGAGATATAGGCAATACCCACTTAAAATAACCTACTGAGTAAAGTCATGCTGCTAACAGAGTCGACCATGAGGTAACAGAGTCCAGGAGAAAAGGGAACAGCTGTCAGAAGGACTATTTCCACCAGAGGCAGGAATGAGTGGACCCAGTGAGGATGTGGGCTTCTTTCACCTCTAAGCATATTTTAAGAGAAGGACACAGGAGTCAGGCTTTAGGTCTTGCTCTTGAAAGTCTTTAGTAGAGCCCCTTTCACACTGGCCAAACACCTGTTTAAAACCGGGAACAATCAGCTCCTAAGTGGCATGGGAACGGCTCACTGACCCGAGTCGACCTGCGTCAAATGACTTGGCACCAATCTGCATACAGAGGAAACATCAGACCCAGGCCGACCTGCTAGTTTACGAGCGCCACACACGGACATCAACACAGTGCCAGTCCCGTCTGATCCAACAAGATGAAAGAACTCTGTTTACATTTCATAAACATGGTGGAGCACTGGTAAGAGGGATTAGGAGGGACGAAATAATTAGTATAAATAATAAGAATAAAGCACACTTAGGCCCTGTCCACACAAAGTCAAAACGAACACGAAACGCTAATATTTTCCAGAACGTTTGTCGTAAAGATGGAGACGTAAAATAAATGTGATCGTCCACACGAATGCATGAAAACGCTGCTAAATGTATGTCAGGCCTGTAAGTGGCGCTGTGGTGCCAAAGCAAAAATAGGCGACGAAATCAGAATCAGAATCTAGGGTTGGGAATTGAAAAGATTTTCACGATTCCGATTCCCTTTTCGATTCTATGAAACGATTCGATTCTTTATCGATTCTTTTTTCGATTCCAAATTGGGGGAAAAAGGAGAACAAACAGTTTGATTATCAGCATCAACTTTGTTTACTTAACTATTGCACAATCTTACAAAATCAACAAGATCAAGATGTCCACAGGAAATGTGAAACTGGAGTAACATCCGTGTTTAAATGAAAAATGAATACAAGAACAAACTTAATAACCAACAATGTCTAATAACAAATGATGGGATAATAACCTATTTTAAATAACAAAAAATACTAATTATAAAACAGTAGTAGGGAAAATTAACAGTTATTTTGCAGAAAGATGAGCATATCTGCTTTTCTGGAAGGATACGGGATCTTTCAGGTCTTATGGTGTCTCCAGCCGTGGAGAACACCCTCTCAGATGGGGTGGAGGAAGCCTGCACACAGAGGTAGTTTTCAGCCAGTCCAGATAGCAAGGGCGGCGTATCTTGCTTGTTCCACCACCACAGTGTGGCGCTATCCCTGCAGGGGATGGAGGGCAAGCTTTTATAGAGCTGGATTTCCTGATCTACCCTCTGGGCTAAGGAAAGACGGGGCTTTGATTCACAAAGTGACCGCAGCTCGTTGTCTTCCTCCTCGAATAGTTCTTCCAACGTGCGTAACTTGCGTAACTTACGTAACTTACGTAAAAACGTGACGTAAGTCGTGCTCCCCAGAGCCGGCGCTTTAGGCTCTGGTGCTGCAGGAATCGAAAAAAGAATTGTTCAGAGAGCTGCCAAACGATGCCATGGAATCGGAAAATACGGAACCGGTTCTGAACAGGAACCGGTTTTCGATTCCCATCCCTATCAGAATCAGAATCAGAATCAAGTTTATTGCCAAGTAGGTTTGCACTTACAAGGAATTTGACTTGGTGTTGTTGGTGCAGACAAAAAAAAAAAACAAAACAAAACAAAATAACAAAATAAGATAGAATATATATAAATATATATATATATACAGAAGCTATATAGAAACAGTAGACTGTGTGTTAATGTAACGCAGAAATCCTGAATGGGGGAGAGAAACATTGTCCAGTGTCACGGGCGGGTCTTGGCCTTGTTGATAAGGCCGATAGCAGATGGGAAAAAACTGTTTTTGGTTCTGGTCCTGATGGACCGCAGCCTCCTGCCAGAGGGTAGTGACTGAAATAGTTTGTGACTGGGGTGCGAGGGATCAGCCACAATCTTCCCTGCACGCCTCAGAGTCCTGGAGGCGTGCAGCTCCTGGAGAGATGGGAGGTTGCAGCCAATCACCTTCTCTGCAGACCGGATGACACTCTGCAGTCTGCTCTTGTCCTTAGCGGTGGCACCAGCGTACCAGATGGTGATGGAGGAAGTGAGGATGGACTCAATGATGGAGGAGTAGAACTGCACCATCATTGTCCTGGGCAGGTTGAATTTCTTCAGCTGCCGCAGGAAGTACATCCTCTGCTGGGCTTTCTTGGTGAGGGAGTCGATGTTCAGCTCCCACTTTAGGTCCTGGGAGATGATAGTTCCCAGGAAGCGGAAAGACTCCACAGTGTCAATGGTGGAGTCACAGAGGGTGATGGGGGTAGCAGGGGCTGCGCTCTTTCTGAAGTCCACAACCATCTCCACTATTTTTAGAGCGTTGAGCTCCAAGTTGTTCTCCCTGCACCAGGTCACCAGATGGTCAGCCTCCCACCTGTAGGCGGACTCGTCACCATCGGAGATCAGTCCGATGAGAGTGGTGTCGTCTGCGAACTTCAGGAGCTTGACAGACTGATGACTGGAGGTGCAGCTGTTGGTGTACAGGGAGAAGAGCAGAGGAGAAAGAACACAGCCCTGGGGGGAACCAGTGCTGATGAGCTGTGAGTCAGAGAACTGTGTTCCCAGCTTTACGTGCTGCTTCCTGTCCGACAGGAAGTCTGTGATCCACCTGCAGGTGGAGTCAGGCACATTCAGCTGAGAGAGCTTCTCCTGGAGCAGAGCTGGGATGATTTTGTTGAAGGCCGAGCTGAAGTCCACAAACAGGATCCTGGCATAGGTTCCTGCGGAGTCCAGGTGCTGGAGAATGTGGTGAAGGGCCAGGTTGACAGCGTCATCTACAGACCTGTTGGTTCTGTAGGCAAATTGAAAGGGGTCCAGGAGGGGGTCCGTGATTTCTTTCAGGTGTGACAGCACAAGACGCTCAAAGGACTTCATGACCACAGAGGTCAGGGCGACGGGTCTAAAGTCATTAAGTCCTGTGGTCCTTGGCTTCTTGGGGACAGGGATGATGGTGGAGGATTTAAAGCAGGCTGGCACGTGACATATCGCCAGTGAGGTGTTAAAAATGTCTGTGAAATTTGGAGACAGCTGGTCAGCACAGAGCTTCAAAGTGGATGGAGTGACAGAATCTGGTCCAGCAGCTTTCAGGGGGTTCTGTTTTTTGAAGATTTTGTTTACATCTCTCTCTTTTATGGAAAGAGTTGTCACTGAGGAGGTGGAGGTGATCTGTTGGGTGGTGTTGTGGGGGGTGGATGCATGACTGTCCCTTTGTCTGTCGAAACGACAGTAGAAGTTGTTCAGGTCGTTGGCTAACTGTCGGTCGTTCATGGAGTGGGGGGCTTTAGGCTTGTAGTTTGTTATCTGCCTAAGCCCTTTCCAGACAGAGGCAGAGTCGTTGGCAGAAAGATGGTTTTGCAGCTTCTCAGAGTACAGTCGTTTACCCTCTTTCACCGCCTTGCTAAACTTGTATTTTGCATCTTTGAATCTGCATTTATCTCCGCTCCTGAAGGCCTCTTCCTTGTCCAACCTAAGTCTCCTGAGTTTGCCAGTGAACCAGGGTTTGTCATTATTGTAATTCACCCTGGTTCGTGTTGGAATACAGCAGTCCTCACAGAAGCTGATGTATGATGTCACAGCCTCTGTGAACTCATCCAGACTATTGGTAGCAGCCCTGAAGACGTCCCAGTCAGTAGAACCCAAACACGCCTGAAGATCCTCCACAGCCTCACTGGTCCAATTCTTTGATTTCCTCACCACAGGTTTGCAGAGCTTTAGTTTCTGTCTGTAAGCAGGAATCAGGTGGACCATGACGTGGTCGGATTGGCCCAGTGCAGCACGGGGGACAGCATGATAAGCATCCCTGATGGTGGTGTAACAGTGATCCAGAATGTTATCCTCTCTGGTCGGGCATTTAATAAACTGTCTGTATTTAGGAAGATCATGACTGAGGTTACCTTTATTAAAGTCACCAAGGACAATAACTAAGGAGTCCGGGTTGCTCCGCTCCACACTCAGTATCTGATCAGCGAGCGTGCGCTGTGCGTCCTGCACGTTTGCATGCGGCGCGATGTAGACACCGACCAGAATGAATGAAGCAAACTCGCGGGGTGAATAAAAAGGCTTACAGTTTATGATGAAATATTCCAGGTCTGTTGAACAGTTCTGCTGGATCACTGTCACATCGTTGCGCCAGCCGCTGTTGATGTAAAAACAGATCCCTCCACCTTTCGCTTTGCCGGAGAGCTGTGCGTCTCTGTCCGCTCTGTGGAGTTGGAAGCCTGCCAGCTGCAGCGCAGAGTCTGGGATCAATCCACACAGCCATGTTTCCGTAAAGCATAAAACAGCAGATGAGGAGAAGTCCCTGTTATATCCCAGCATCAGTTGAAGTTCGTGCAGTTTGTTGGGCAGGGAACGCACGTTGGACAGGATCATGCCCGGTAGCGCTGAGCGGAGACCGCGCTTGCGGTGCCGCACGAGCGCCCCAGCGCGTTTTCCTCTCCTCCGGCGTTTCGCTGCATGAGCAAAGGTGAGCGCACCTTTGACCAGAATGTCCAAAATTTCCAGCGTAGGGAGAAGAAAAGTGGGGAATAAATCCTCTGGTGATGTTGCCCTGATGTTCATGAGCTCTTCTCTGGTGAAAGAGCTCCGGGTAGCATCGCAAAAACCAGAGTTAAGTAGTAAAAATAAACTAAAAAGTGCGCACCAACACACCGTGGCTGCCATCTGCGGCGCCATCAGAGGGTGAGTGAAATGAGTGAAATGTGAAATGAGTGAGTGAAATGTTGGGCATGCGCACTAATATTTATACCTGTTTGCCCTGCGGGTCCATTTTCGTGGTTCAGTCAAATTCAGGTGCTGAACTATGTCGTCGATATTGCTCTGTTCTTCCTGGAGATATTCCAGAAGAAGAAGATTCTGTTGTAAGCCCGACAGCAGGGTGAGTAGCATGAGCAGCAACCATTCAACACAGTACGGCGCCATTGTTGTTGTGATACTGTGTCGCGCATGCGTGTTTAGAGGCGACGCTATGACGCATGCGTGTAAGAAAAAAAATACGGTTAGAGCTTAAAGATGGAAACGGGAAAAAAGCGTTTCAAAATCTTCCCACTCTGAAGGCTTAATAAAAAAAAGATCGTTTACAGACCCCCGAAACGCCGGCTTCGTATGGATGAGAGGCTGGTTTGGTGAAAAATTTGTGCGTTTAGGCCAGGGTTTGGCTTCGTGTGGACGGGGCCTTACTACGCCCTGGCTCCCTTCAATGTTTCTCTCCATTGTTTACTTTCCTGATTTCTGTCGCACTGGTGACATCATCAAAGCTAACCCAGCATAATGGCATCACCAGATACGCAGCTGTGGGGGGACAGGTGCCATGCAGGTTTCCAGCTAGGAGTTAGACCCATTTTTTTTTTTTGCATGTAGGAAGGGAGCCAAACGCTGTTTGTTAGCCGGTTTACTCGTGCTTTAAAAACCTGCCTTATTCTGCTAATTTCTGTGGGAAAGAGGCTTTAGAGTCTGGCTGAGCTTTCCAGCTGCTGAAATCAGCATCATGTCAGGTACACAGATATAAAGACTGAGTAAAACTAATGAAGATTAAGGCAGAAAACTGATGCTGACCTATAGTGGACAAACCTGTGTAAACAACTCCCCCCCCTTACCCCGGACACATATCTGCTAAAAAGTCTGCTCCATCAGCAGCTCGCCAACTGCTCTGCTCCTCACAGGACTTTGGCTTTAGGGTGCTAAAAGCTTTTCCGACTCAAATATACGACGTTGCAGCTCCTTCACACTCCGAATCCAAACGATGTCAGACCACCCAGGAGAACAAAGCATTCGGCGCTCTAAACAACGCAGCTTTCACCTAAAGTCACATTATGAGGATCATCAGAGAAGACTTCATCTCATTTTAACTGAATAATGCACAAAACCCACAAAATCCTCTGATGGACGCATACTGCCAAATTTTCATGCTCTATCATACTTAATTTGCATAATTCTCAGTCCAGCATTTCATTTAAATTTACAAAATCTAACAATAAAAGTCATGAAATAAATTTAGAAGAATTTTTTTCTAAAGAATTCAGTTTTCAAATAATGGATCTGCTATACAGATCAATGGAATAGCAAATAAAGTGTGCAAATAAAACAGCCCTCTATGAGGATCAGCCGTTGTCGTACCGTCTCTGTCCAGCACATTAGGGCTGCGGGTCCGAAAGGCAGGTCTGCGTTCCAGGTCTCCCTGCTCCTGCCGCTGCTTCTCCTCCTGATGTGAAGAGTCATGCACTGCTTTGATCTGGTGCTGCAGCATGACTAAACCACTGATGGGTATGCCGCCTGGGCCATAAGGACCAGGTACCTGGATGAAAACAGATGGAAAAATAAACTCTGGAAGCCAAACATTAAGAAAAGTGTACAGAAACAGATGAATGTCAATAAACTTGAATATTTGTTTGTATAAACTGATAAAGCAGCCTTCCAAATAAAGAGAGCTAAAACCAACCATGGATGGGATGGAGGCTGCCCTGTGTTGCATCTGCTGGATACTGAGCTGGGCTTGCTTAGGAGACGACACTAGCACCGACCCTTGGGGGCTTATCAACGGTTTTTCCATGGGGTACATTCTGCAGAGATGGCCAAACAATGTATAACCCTCCAAATTCTGATTTTAAACAAAATAGATTATATGTGGAGTAAAAATATGCTTTGGAGACTCACCTCTGCCTATCAGGCTCAGCTTCCACATCCTCATCAGCACTGCAGGTGGCACTCGAGTCGTTGTCAGAGTGGAGCTCTCTTTGCCTTTCACCAGGATCTCCCTTTTCCCCTTTCTCCTTGACTTCGGGTTCCACCTTGACTTGAACCTCTCCAGTCTTCAGGTCCACATCCTGGGGTTCGGTTTTGGGATAAACGGGGCCAGAAAGAGGAAAAGAGGGAAGCTTGACTTTTTCTTCCTGAGATCCGCTCTCCCTCTCTGGGCTCTTCTCTTCTTTGACACGAAGCTCCCCGTATGAAGACTCTGCAGGTTTTCCTGTGCTGGCCTGGCTTTTTTCCTGGTCGGTGCAAGGAGCTTCCCCCGTGCTGCTCTCTGGTCTCTTTGCATCCACAGGTTTTGAGGAATCTGCCTGGGACGGCGAAGGTGCACTTTCTGTATCAGAGCTGTTTTCACCACCTGAGGAGGAATCAGGCAATTAACCTCAAAGGTATATTTCACATTTTAAAAATCACCTGTCAACATATAAAGTCAGATTTCCTTCATCCTGACTGAATTCTAGCACATTATTGCCTCCATTGTTCTTAGAATATAGTATGATGAGAACACGCTGCAATTATGGGCCAGTAAAATGGATTTAAATGTTTGGTCTTAAGCCGTACTGTGAAACAGGTTGTAAGATGACTAGAGATACCGTCTGACAGTTTCTGATATTTAGAATAAGGATCAGCATGATAGCTGCCACAACCTGTGTCTAATGACCATCCAATAGGTATGCAGCTGCTGCTGGAGATGCACCACAATAAGATCAGAAAGAGAAAATAAATGTAAGCTGATCCATTTGCAGGATTTTTTTATGATCCACAGAAGAGAAGCATGTAAAAAACCAGCAGAACATCACATATCAATTGAAAGTCCAAGCAGTAAGAAATGAGCAACCTAATAAATATAAAATTTCCACAATGGCCGTGTTGAGCCATAGACATGAAAGAAATATAGGTTTGTTTGTGTTGTGTTAATATGTAAACAAAAGCAACCTTTTTTTAACAAAGAACTGCAAGAATTTAAAGGTACAATGGATGGTTTTCCGTATTTTTTGAAAGGACCCACCCTCTCCACTTATAAAAAAAAAATGCACATGCACAACCCTGTCTCCCAAAAGGGTACGCTTATTAAACGCGTGTGAGAGCATGCACAAGCTCATTTCCCCTGGTGCACGCTCTGTTTGCATCACTCATACAAGCTTACTTTAAAACAAGATTTGCAATTTTTCCACTTTTTCCTCCTACAACCCTCGGCCATTTTCCCCCATGGGATGGGGGATGTCCTTTGTCTTGAATTGCTTCTTAATCCATCAGTAGCGAACTTCGATACGCTGAATAATTATGGACTTTTTATTTAAACTTTTTCTTTTATTTGTTAAAGGACTTCAGAATTTAATTAAACATATTCATCATATATACCCTTTTAATTTATAATTGAACAATTTATCATTGAAATTATTGGATTGTGGTGATTCTTCAGGAAGATTCAAACATGTAGGCTGATGTAATTTTGCCCATAGAGGTGAGATATTGAACCGATTATTTTGACCTCAGTCTAACTGATCACAGATATGTGCTTCTGATATTTTGTCGCTGGTTTTTTTTAAGCCAAAATTGCTTTTTCTTTTTTCTGGTAACATTATGTATTTGAATGAAGATTTGATACTGGGGGGAAAAAATGTTTTAAACAACAGAAATGTCTTTAAGGCATACTTGACCATTTTTTTCAGTTTTAAGAACATTGTTCAGATTCAAATATTTTCTTTCATGTTTCCAAATTAACTTTTTTTTTTTAACCTTCAGTTTTAAAAAAAGATTTTCATTTTTACCAAAAGATGCCTTTAAATCAACTTTATGGCCCCAATTTTGCTAAATGCAAGGGAGCAGCAATGCATGCCCTCCGCAGGATCTTAAGATAGGGCTGCTGAATACACCTTTGAATCGGACAAAAGGATAGAAATTGAACTTTATTAGTCTCACAATGGAGAAACTAACTCTCAGAATTTAACTCATCCCCTTTGGGAAGCAGTGGGCTGCCACTGTGCAGCACCCGGGGAGCAGCATGGAGTTAAAGGTCTTGCTCAGAGACCAACAGTGCCGGCTGGGATCGAACCAATTACTTTGAACCTCCTCAGAGCAAAAGCGCGCTAAGCCAACACTCCCTCCCTGCATTTAGCATGCATTTATCCATACTGATAGAAGAAAAACATAACGGTAGTAGACAGTAATTGTAAAATATGCACACAACAAATCTGACACCATATCAAAGATTATTTACTTTAAATGTGCGTTGCACAGTATGCTATAAAATAGTCTTTGAATAGTCCTTATAAGACTGCTAAAACTGCACAGTGTAGGAGGGTCATTAGAATAATGATTTTTGTTGCGATACACAGCAGGTCAAAAAGTCTAAAGCAGCTGGTCTTCGTTCAATAAACTACAATCTTTTGAAGAAAAGGCCTGTTGAAGCTTGTTTCCATAGCAATATCAGCAGATACACTAAAAGCGCAGCATAAAAGTTAGTTATGCACCTTAAGATGACTTCTTAATGTATTCAAGTCCGCTTTTAAAGTCCTGCATCTGTTTAGAACGACAAGCTTCTAAAGTTAGAACTTTGCTCGTCCCGAACTCTTTGACCTGTTATCTGACATTCTTTTCACAGACTGTGCTCAAGCTGTGCAACCCTTAAACGGGGACAAGAGATGCAGCCAAAACCAAACGTGTCGCAGATGTGCATTTCCAACTCCCCCTCACTGCCCTTGGACTTGGACCTCTGATAAACAGGAAGGAAAGAGTGTGGGAACATGAAAGATTGTGTGAACATGTGAGAAAGAGCACATGCTCCCCATCCTTCATCCGCCTAACCTTCACTGTCATCTGCATTGTCCTCGTCATCGTCAGGTGATGCTGTGGCTTGGCCTTCCCCTTGAGACGTATCGGCACGAGCTCTGCGAGTATCCTGGGAAACAGACAGAGATTACTGCCTTGTAGACACGTGCTGCACGCTACGGGCGACGGCACAGACCTTGAGAGGAAGCAGAACGTCTTGGAGTTTACCTTCTTATGCTGCTGCAGCAGGTTGTCCAGGTTATGACGTCTTTTGTAATTGAAATAGAAGTTCTTGCACTGTGCCTCGCTTTTGGTGCCCACCATTTTGGCAATGGCTGTCCAGTTCCTGCCATGTTCAACGAGCCCTGGCACAGAAAGCACAGTGTTTTTTATTGTCATACACTGTCACAAGTACATAGCAATGAAATGAACTCTCTGCATTTAACCCATAAGTGGGAGTGGACAGCTATTGTGTGATGTCCGGGGAGCAGTGCGGACATCACAAAGGTCTTTGCTCAGGGACCAAGAGTGTCAGTCCGTGGGAGTGGGGCTTGAACTCAGAACCTCAGGATTCAAAGCACGCTAACCCTAACCACTAGGTCGCCACTCCCCCAAAGCAGGCATTAGAGTAAAGGGTCTTTCAGCTCATTCGCCCCGGCTGGAATACGAACTCAGGTTTACTGTTTGCAGGACGGATGGCTTACACTTGAGCTGGCAAACTTTACACTTGTCCAATACGGTGCAGATTATACTGCTTTACGTAGGATCGACTCATTTGGATATCGACTACTGATATTAATCCAAATTATACGTGATTTCATTACTCATTTTGATGCATGGAATGTTAGAAAATGTTTAATCAGGTGATTTTATCAAACAGAGAACAATATTAGGTAAAAATAATGACCACTTACTACTAAGCAATGGGTTATTAAACTTGAAAAAGAAGCGGATAGAAGTGGAATGTTTTAATCAGCTTTATTGATATCAGAGGATTAAGAGGAAAGCTCATATATGGCTAATATCAGACCATTTTCCAATGTCAGAATCGGATAGGGACTAGTTGGAAAGACCTGAAATTATTAGTGATGATCTGATCTGTTCCATATAGTTTAATAACCGTCCTCATCGAGGCATTTTTTATGGGAGTGTGTCAGATTAAACTGACCTCCTAATGCATGTTAGCCGACTGTATGTGGTTTTATGTCAGCCCCATAACTAGCAGAGTTTGTAGTTAAAAACTGCATGGTCAGTTGCCGTGCTTCCATTAAGTTTCATGTAAAGAGAACATTAGAAAATAAAATATGAATTAGCTGGGTTTCCAGCAATTGGAGTGGATTACTGGGGGATGCAAACAGGAAAGTCATCATATGTTTAGGTTAAGCTTTGCTGTAATAAAAAAACAAGTAGAACCCAGAACAAAGATCAGTGATGGACTGAGGTTTAAATGAATGTGTTCCAGTCAGGTATGAAATGCTTTTCTAATGCTGTATTCATGATGGCGGCGAGGGAAATAGCTGATCATCAGGTGAGATAAAGGTTTGATAAAACAGAACTTATTTAACAGATGAGTTAATGAATCTAAATGTGTAAATAAAAAAAAAAATGGGTTTCTATACTCTTTTGATGTTGTTTACTTTTTCAAAAAGAGCGTAAAGAGGTTTTTGCTAAATTAGTTAATTTGACTATTGCCGTAGCTATCAAGCTCTTCTAATGTGATACTTGAAAATATGCATAAAACAGTTGATGGAAAACAGCCTAATTAAAAAAGAAAAAATGAGAGGGAATTAATGTATCAAGGCTTATTTTAAGTTTAGATCATTACAGGGATAGAGAGAGATCACTGCTTGCTTCAGCTCCCTGTCGGTTTGCTATGTGACTGTCTTTGGACGCCTCCTGGACGCTAAGGGGACTTTAGGCATAAGATGTATAGAGAGCAGCTAAATTGCAACACATTCTAAGTAAATCAACTAAGCTTTTTTTTTTCTCTGCAGCTTATCTGTACAGCAACTAACTATAATGGATTACCTCAATATCAACAAGTCGTATATAATTGAAACATGCTAGTGTTAGCCCAGCACTTTGGCAAGTCACAGATTTCACTGAGGAATCTAGATCTATATGTGCGTTATTAAACTTCAGAAACAAGGCTTTACTGATCAAATATATTATTGTATTTTACTGCATTTCTTGGGCATCTATTTATTAAAGCACAGGCATTGGTTAGATTTAAAAGGGTACCAGACAAGGGGCCTGCTAAGACAAATCTTTAATCAGTCAGAACGGCATCAGGGTTAAGATTTTGCGGATCTGGATATTCCTGTACAACATGACATTTCATCTAAATGGAACAGCAGCTATCTCAGATGTACTGTCACAGCAAATCTCTAAAGGTCAAAGCACCGAAAATAAATATCTAAGCTCTTTTATTATGTCAGCCTTGCTGCTTTTGTAAACTGTGCGCTCAGCCATGGTCCATTAGAGAGAAATGGAAAAACCACCAATTAGCTTCGAGTTGACCAAACTGTAGAAAACTGCTCAGCAAGCTGCAGTGAACTTGGCAGACAGCCATTGACCTTTGACATTAGGGTGTCTCTGTTTGATATCCTGTAACCCACGTTGACTTACTCCCCCCACCGGCCCTACTTAAATCAAGGATGCTGGCAGCTTACCAAATAATCACAAAACGCCAGAACTGTTCCTGTTAAATGGTGGAATAAAGGGATTGTTGAAAGACTAATGTCTTATTTCATTTATATCAGCCAAAAACACTCGTCCCACAGGATTATTAGTGATTACCAGCAGTATAACAAACACAAATAAAGTTATATCAAAGCATTTTAATGGGGTTTGCATCAGCAAACATTGAAATATTTAAGGATTTATTTCCAAAATTCCTGCATAGCCAAATGTTGCCGTTTCTGTTAACAAGGCAGCTTTCCTCATTTTCAAGGACCACAACTTCACAACTGATTGCTCAGCTTTATTGCAAACAATCACAATTTCCAACAATCATATAAGCCATTGTCAAAAAAACATTTGATAAAAACTGTCTTTATAGACATGAACAACACAGAGCAATCATCTTCAGGGCTGATTTTCTAATCAAATCTAAATAAAAGGTGTGAAACTCTTTTGCCACAGTAAAAATAAAGGAACATCTTTTTAAGTCCAATACAGTATCTATTTTTTATATTAAAATAAGTCCTATGACTTCCTGACATATTTTGGATTGATTTTCTTTTGTTTAAAAAAAAAAAAGCAAGCAAAGACTGGGTCCCTCTTTTTTGGAAAACACAATGGCTCCCGCCCCCTGCAGCAAAAGTCACTGGATATTTCTGATCCTGTTTATATAAAATCAAAATTAAAAGTATAAAAGGATTTAATAAAGGATGAATCATTTGTGTAATGCTTCATATAATCTATCTGTAAAAGTCCTGCCATAAAAGAAAAAAACTGCATGTGCTGACTTGCTAAATATGTACCGTTCCTGAACTGTGGTTGGTGTCCACATAAAACTCATCCAGGAGCCATGAATGGCCCACGAGCCACACTTTGAGTGTACCACCAAACGCAAAGAACAAAAAAAAACTCCCAGTTTGTGGATTTCAGTGTTTTCACCCTGCATTCTTACACTTAATGCAGATGAACATGTTTTATGACCAAGGAAAGAAACTCCACACCATGTTGGCCTAAGCAAAAATGTGTTGAGGCTTAAAAAGCGTTTTTGAACCAGCTCTTGTCATATGACTGGCCTCTCTCTGCTACGCTAATCCAGTAGACGGATTTTTGTAGAGGAAAACTTTGTATCAAGCCAAGATTTATTCACTCCTGGTCTAAAAGCTACCAAGACTCAGGAATCTGCTCTAAGAGGCTGGACCAAGACATAAAGTGTGAGACATTGTAATGAAATGTGCTTAAAAATCATCAAAGCAAACATTAAATATCCAATAAGGGAAGGTATTTGCAGGGTAAAAGTAACTCTCAGCTGATCTAAATGTAATACACTGTTGCTTCTTGAATGATTGATCACTTCTGAGAAGAAAGCAAAGCAGAAAAGCTGAGGAGGAAAAGAAATCCTGATGGATTTTATACATCTTAAAATAAAGTGCAAGGAGTTCTCTTTCTGTGCAAATTGATGTATTCACTCATACTTGAGTGCAAGCAACAAAACAGATAGGGTGATGAAATATATATTATTCATGAACAAAACTGGCTTTGCATGACCAGAAACTGAAGAAGAGCTGCTGCAGAAAGACACAGAAAAACAAAAGAAGTGGAGAAATGAATCAAACGCTACCTTTTTTGGCCACTTCCATCTCCTCCTCGGTCCAGCGAGAAGTTTCTCCGGTTTCACCAGCGCCAGCTAAATCACAAAAGGAGGAGAGGCAGCTCCATTAGCACTCACAGCGAGAAAAGAGGGAAAAGAAAGGGAAAAAAAAGACAGTAAATAAAAGAGAGAGGGAGAAAAGCAGAGAGAGAGAGGCCCTTTCTTCAGCCGCCTTCTCATGGCCACTAATCTAATAATCTGTTTACATTCAGGGCTGCTGAGACCTGCTCCCTCACTTACTCGCCTGCTTTCACCCTCCCACTGCGTTTCTCTCTCTCCTCCTCTCTGATCCAGGAGGGGAGGGCTCCTGGTCAGCTGACGCGGCGTCAGACGCTGGAGGAACCGAGCTCTGCTGGCCTTCCTCTCTGGGAAATGGCCTTGGATGGAGACAAATGGGCAAATAGAGCCTCCAGGACCCAAACCCTCCCACCACTTGGACTATGACGCTGGGTGTTTGACACAAACACAAGACACACGCTCCTCCTTTCCTCTTCTTGGCTGCACAGTTCACCACCCCCCTCGGAGCAAAATTCACAGAAGTGAACAGTGAGAGAGGAGAGGGGCAAATGAACTCTAGCCTGCTCTCTTCTACAGCGCCCACTGACACTGCGTAAACATTTGGACTAATGCAGCTGCAGATCTGCCCTTTAATTAAAGAGGGGGTTAACAGCCGGACCAGCCACCCACCTCGTGTGACTGATATTCCCTAATATGTAAGGAGAGTCACTGATATGTGCAACATCGTGGCAGACCACCTAGAAGTTGACATTAACCCACATTAACAATCATTCAACCCCCATTGTATCAGCTTGTTGAACTTGCCTGGCACGCCTTCAACTAGGCAACACTGACCCACAGCCACACTTTAAAACTGGGCCAGCTCACTTCTAAGAAGCACAATAGGTTACGACAGAGCAAGCAAATACAGTCCTCCAGAGCATATTTATGTCCCTGAAATGTGTTTCCTGAAGAACAAATCAATGAACACTGGCATCGGTTCTGAGTCAGCTCCCCTAGAGGCAATATTCAGTATTGCATCTACAGCTGAAAGGCTTTATGAATCCCATACCAGAGTTATTTATCTGCATCACCTATTTTTCTTTGCAAAAGAGCAAAAAACATTAACAATGAAAATGCTCCTTGATTCTCATTTCAGTCTAGGTCTGGACTTTGACTAGGCCGTTCTTTTCAGCCAAATCTGTCCACTGCATCCCACTTGAACACGCCCTCTATTCTCAAAGCCTCCTCTAACTTTTTTCCTCCATTTATTGTTCCAACAACTCTGACCATTTCCACTGTGCATATTTAAGAGCATTTTCACACCTCAATGCACATGTTTCAGCATATAGATGCAGGTCAAGGGAGATAGATTTGCACGTCAGCCTAAAAGGTTTTTATTTTTTGGTCATACCAGATAAGAGCATTTTCTTGGAATCAGAGCCGCTCAACTAAAATCTGCAATATTCTAACAAATCTGGCAAAATAAACCATTTTTACTGATTTCATCCAGACAGCAGCTGAAGCAAGAACCACTGAGAAACTTTTGATTTCTGAGCAAAGGGAAAATTTTTCACCTTTATTAGAATCTGCTGCAACCGGAGTGAGGGATTTTGCAGGCTCCTTCAAGGCTTTCTGTGCCTGATCAGATTTAGGGAGCTGTGGAGGATCTGGCAAGGCAGGCTCAGAGGCAGGAGGAGGCGTGTCCTCGGCTGCGACGGACGCAGCCTCATTGGCCATGGAGCGTGTGGTGATCCTTCTATTGCGGCGGCCCTGGCTGTTGGCAGTCTTCCTGCCACGCGGCGTGTTTTGCTCCTTTCCGTCCTCGTCCTCCCCACCGTCACACTTGTCTTTGTCCTTGCCAATCTCCCTGTGGTTTTTGGAAAGGGGGGGAAAACACAGCTTTTAGCTGCTGCAGCAGCAAATATCTATTCCCTCATGATGCAGCAATAAAAGGCCTTTCTAGGAATCGGCTTTTTTCACAACTGACCGAATACAAGAAAAGCATATAAAACCTGTCAATATCCAACTCGAATGGACATGTTAAACTGTCAGAAATCTGCGGTTTTGTTGGATGAAATTATACAGGATGCATAAGGCTAATGTCGGGTTACTTTTACTTTCAGGCAACCAATTAAACTGAGAATTTTCTTTCTTTTAAATAAAAGCTTTTCTTTTTTACGTTGGACAAGTTAAGACTCCTAAAAAGTCATTTAAAACCAGAACTTGTTGAAGGGAGCTGTCAAGTTTTTTTATTAAAGAAAACCGAAGACTAATGAATAGATGGGGTGCTGGAGTATCCCTTCACAAAAAAAAAAAAGAAACATACAGATCTTTAGGCACAAATGTTAGGAAAAATTTTTTATGTTTCTTAAGGTGGTTTTTAACTTTTTAAAAGAAAACAGCAAATATGAAATGGAAACAGATTGGTAGAATAAGTTCAGACGTAGAGAACCTTTACGCCATCTGACTGATCAGCTGTTTCCAATAAAGTAGAGCTGACCTGATAAACTACAAGTTGCCAGACATTCATTAAGCCTTGATCCATTACTAATCAGTGGTTCATGCTAGTTTGGAACTCAGCTTCCTATTTATTACAGCCAAACGTAGCATCATTGTATGATGGAAAAACGTTATATGATAAAACACGTCTAACAATTTCTTTTTTTTAACCTTTTTAAAGTTTGTTCTAAATGCACGACATTCAGAAGGAACTGCTTCTAATATAACTCTTTGAGCTTTCAAACATTAAATGCACACCTGTACTGATTTTGAGACGTGCTAGGCAGAAGAAAAGCAGAGCATTACCTACACTAGTGATGTATGTTTGGTGACAAAAATCAAAAATTTTCAGCTGGTTTGCAGCTGAGTGAAGCGCAGCAGGACACGGCCTAAACTATCACAGAAACAGTTTCACGATCACAGAAAACACTGAGATCAGAAATCGTCCACTAATCTATAACTGCTGCATCTCCAGTTTCACCAGTTATCCCTTGTTAAATGCTTGTCCACAGACCAGTCTGCCTCTGGACATTTAAATTGGGTAAGTGAATTGGTCCAAACATCAAAGTGATTCAAAGTAAACTATAGAGAACCAACTCTGGGTGTTTTTATGGAAGTAAATCTGTGTCGCTGAAATTTGAATTAAAAATGCCACTGAAATTTAAATGTTGTACGTTTGTACTTACTGTCAGAATAGTCAGAACACATTTTTGACTTAAAAAAAATTTATTGTCATTATTTCTACATAGTTGAAATTTCATTTGTTATTTTCTCTTCAAGCTAAAAATTCACATTACTATTTCAAAGTGATTACATTTTTAATACTTATTTTTCAGTTTAATTTTTGACTGTTAAAAAAATCTGCATATAAAAAAATTCAACCTTTTAAAATTCAAACTCAATATTTTCAGCCTCCTTAGATTCCACTGGCTCTATTTCACTGTCTTAAATTCGGCGTCTAAATTCAGTGTAAAAAGGGAAGGGGTTACTTCAGGTCACAGACGTTAGCAATGGATTGTGGTGTCCAACACCCAGCCAATCCCGTTACGTTTTCTTAGTCACATGACGTGACGCTTGTGGCGCTCATACTGAAGGAAAACCAGCATGACGGAGCCGGTCATGCGAGCTAACCCTAACTCAACGGTGAGTTTATTACTTTCATTTTTACAGTAGCATAGCTGTTACTCATTTCACATTATTTAATTGCTGTGCATATAAATGATTATTTTAAGTTGACCACTTGCTAATTTTTTCAAGCTTTTAAAGCTCTTATAGCTAACTTGTGAGAAATATTAGCTGACTGGCAGATAAAATCAACTCTGAAAGCTACAGGAAAGCTATTAACAACTGTTAAGCTGCAGTCACTCCAGTTATTGGCCTTGTCTGTACAGCTATCTCTCTTGTTGTCCAGAAAGTAACACCATGACGTCTACCTAGTCTTGTTTTTCAGGAGCATTTGATGAAAAAGGCTAATAACAGACAGAGGGAAGCTTTAACCATGCCATCAGGCAAAGCTCACCTAGAATCCTCCTTTTCATCTTTCTCTTCCTCGTCCTTCTTTTCCTCCTCCTCTTTTTTCTCAGACTTCTCCGCTTTGTCCTCTTCGTTCTTGTCTTCTGTCTTTTCTTCTTGTGAAGGACGTGTTATTTGCTGCAGGGGGAAAAAAACCAAAAAAACATTTAAAAACTGATTCAGGTAAAAAAAAAGGTGGACTTCAAAAATGATCTGATGTTTTTCACTTTGTAAAAAAATCTTTAGAAGCCCTCAAATCTTATCTTTTTATGCAATGGAGAAGAGAACTTCAGAGATAAGGAAACAATTGTCCTTTTAGTTTAGTTTTAATGTAAATGATTAAAGATGGGGGAAATCAAGTATGAGTTGCTTTTTATATCAAAGTGTTTGTGATGATTTTCAGCTTTAATGTCACTGTTTTAGAAGCATATAGAACCAGAATATACCTCTAAAGAGGTTTACCAGAAATCAGAGATTTTCTATTTGATCAAAAATATAAGACGGTCATAATTTCTCTCAATTTTAAAATTAATATACTCTGACAATAACAAATGGCCTTATGTCAAACAGAATAAGCACCCCAGTGTTACTCCTTAGTTTAACCAGCTAATATGTAATATGGGGTAAAAGGGAACGACATTTATGAATTTTAACAACTGGGGTGATGGCGTGATGGAGGACAGAGCAGCATTCCTGATAATCAGTGCAGGCGCGGTACGCCACAGAATGCTTCCTCCTGACTGTTCCATGAAAGTGCGGCGCTGGAACAAGTCTGGCTATGCCAAGCCAAACATCCCATGCTGGTACCAGATGGGGCTGAGGAATGTGCTTCACTCAACGGTTTGGGCAGAAAGATATGAGGTGAGGTAAAGACAAGACAGATAGGGGTACTTCTTTTCTGGAAGAGGAACAAAAGTGGAAGAAAAAAAAAACAGCTAAAACATGATTATACATGAGGAAGGTCCAAATGAACTCATCAGCATTAGCTTCAAAGCAGCAACATTTTTTATTTCATTGACTGGAATCAGACTGATTCTGACCGTTAAAGCTATTCACAGACTAAAGCAAAATTTTATCTGTTCTACGACCGATGAACTTTTGACGAACACAACATTAGCGCTACTAGGTCATGAAAAAACAATGTTTTTTAGTTGTTGCCGCTGCCAAGCTTATAATTAAATAATTTTAGAAACAGCAATACTTTTGAAAATTAAAGGATTTTCAAAGATGAAAGAAACAATTAAAAAACATGATTGAGAAGGCAAGAGAGAGCACGACTTTCTAAAGATAACAGAAAGGCTGGACTTTTTTTTGTTCAATCTTCCCCTTCGAGACATCCTGCCTAATGTATTTTGGTTAGAATTATCGGGACCACTGCGATTGTAGATCATGGAAGTCAGAAATGCTGGATTGTGTTGGCGCCAATACCCTGTTGTGTGTGTGTGGTTAAAATCTGAAATGCTGCAGCTCAACATGGTGCATGAACCAATCAGATAAGCTGATTGGAAGAATTTCACAACAGCCAAGCTGTTATTGCTCCTCCTGCAGAGCCGTCAGCATAAATCCAGAAAAATAATATATGTAAATGATCACTGCACTAAAATATTTAAAATGTGGTGAAAAAGTTCTAAAATTAATATCTTCAGGAACTCAAAATGTCAAAATTTTGGGGTGAAAAATATTAAATTATACTATCAGGTACTTGCTGTTTAAAAGCTCTATAGTCACTTCCAGCAGCTATGAACAGTGGCAGGAAATCCCAGTGATTGGCCAGACTTAAGTTTGTCTAATGCTTGATGCGTCTGTGAGTTGCGAAATGCATACATTAAGTAAAATTTAGCTTCCAAGGCCCTCAGCGCCGCTTCCGTGCTGACAGAATTTCGGCACCATTGACCAATGAAAATGTGTTATTACGTGGACAGATCCGTGCCGAAAATATCGTGAGCGAGCAGCAACTCCTGCTAGCAAGGGTTTGCAAATGTAGACACCTGGAGACATCCTGTGTTTTAACACATAAACATCACCACTATCAACATATTGTGGAAAGAAATTGCTGTGGCTATCCAACGACAAAAGAGGCTTTGATAAAGTTGTAAACGGCTGTTTTCTACTTCCTCTTTTAGTGTGATGGTGTCAATTCGAGGTTTGTGCGGAATAATGTAGAAGAGACTCTACTCCGAGGTTTTCCCAGAAGATCAAGCTCCTCACCTTATATCTAAGGGAGTGTCCAGCCCCCCTTAATTCAAAAAGCTCATTTCAGTCGATTGTATTTGGGATCTCATTCTTTTAGTAATGATCCAGAATTAAAGACCATAGGTGAGGGTTGGAACGTAGACTGACCTGTAAATCAAGAGCTTTGCCTAATGGCTCATCACTCTCTTCACCCAAACAGACTGATGCAGGACCTCTATTTTCGCGGCAGACGCAGCAATTAGTCTATCGATCTCACGTTCCACTCTCCCCTAACTAATGAAGAGAATCCCAAGATGCTTAAACTCCTCCACTTGAGGCAGGAATGGTTGTCCAGCATGAAGGAGGCGAGCCAGCAACTTTTGGTTGAGAACCAAGCATGGAGGAGCTGATCTTCATCCTGACAAACCACCCCAGCGCACGCAGTAGGTCTTGGCAAGAAGGAGCCAGCAGAGCCACAAAAAGCAGGGATGAAATCCGCTGGTCCCAAAGCCAGACCCCCTCCGGCCCTTGGCTGCGCCTAGAAATCATGTAGGACCGCTATGACTGGCCGTTACATAAAGAAATGTTCTGCTCCTAAAATCACTTATGCAATGTACTAAGCTGAGCAGACACAGCATTGACCCACTACCTTCTGTTAATGTAATCGCCGCTTCCATTTTTTCCATGTTATAAATATATTACTAGATCCAGCCTAGTCAGACAGTCGTTGCATAATGTAAAGGAAAAGCTTGGGGCTGCTCAGTGAACCATGGAGGTTAAAATGTTGCTATATTAAAAAAAGAATAGTGCACGTCTGATGGTGGTGCATCTTAGAGTAAAATATGTAGACTTGAGCTTCCTCCTTATGCAGTAAACTCTTCAGAGACTTAGTTATAATTTATTAAATCAAACACAAAGCAGTAACAGTAGTTTATGTGAGGGGGTTTTCAGAAATTGACTGCATGCACATCTGCAGCAGCCTCTCTTTTACAGAAGGCCAGGTTTATTTTTAGCTCCATTCGCTAAGACGATGTCTGGCAAGTAGAGGGGGTGGAGTGGGAGCACATGGAATGTGGTGTGCTTAGGGTCCCAACGATAACCTGGAGGGTTGGTTGGTCACCAAATAAAAGTCGACTGGTGGACAGATATTACAACCAACCGAAGAGCTGGCCATTTAATAATTAATTTATTGGGAGGGTTTTTACGGCATTTCTGATGTATGTTCATCAGAGGTGTCAAGTAACAAAGTACAAATACTTTGTTACTTTAATTTACTGGAGAAATAATTTTTTAGACAACCTTTACTTCTAGTTAGAGGTGTGCAAAATAATCGCCGTGACAATGCATCGCGATTCTAATTCTTGTGATCTACTGCATTGATTCTTGATGGCAAGAATCGATTCTTAACTTCAAAAAATGAACAAATAAAATACATGAATGGTTGGCGCACATCAGCCAAACCAAGTGTAATACAACTTCCAGTCCAGCAGATGTCGCTGCGGATGTGTTGACGTTGCCTTGTGTCACAAGCATTTCCGGCCGTGGGATACTGCGATGAGTCATATGAAATAAAACATGGAGGACACTATGAAAATTTGCCCCTGTATCGTTTTCTTACAGTGTTCAGTGGAAATATTGCGATGCATCGCAATTTTTCAAGTATCGTGATGCATCGTGATAGAATCGCATCGTGGCATGTGAATCGTGATATCGAATCGAATCATGACTTCTTTGCCAATACCCACCTCTACTTCTAGTCCTTACTTTATTGCAGTTATTTCTACTTTCTACTCTTTATATTTTAAAATAGAGATAGTTCAATTTAAGCTCATCTTCATTATGACCTGTTGGTATTGGAAAAAAAATTACAAAGAAAAAATTATTTGTTTTATCCAGACAATTACTTTATGTGTGCTGCATTAATTAGTTGTTCACCACACATCAAAATAAATCGTTTTTTAAGATGATGCAAATTTTAATTTGTAACTGCCATTATTTATAAAACTAAGAAAATTAAGTATAAGGAAGTTACCATTCAGAATTGTAGAAAAATAATCCTTTAATACAGAGGTCAGCAACCCGCGGCTACGGAGCCACATGCAGCTCCTTAGCGTCCCCCTTACGGTTCCCTGGAGGATTTTCAAAAACTTATAAAAAATAGAAACAGATGGAGCTTTTTGTTTGTTTATTTTTATATGATGTGCACGAGGTCAGACAAACATCCATTATGTTTTCCAATTCTCAAAATTTTTTAAATACATAAATTTAAACAACAAATCTAAACATTTCTGTCAACAAAGATTTGCGTCGTAAGCTGCAGCACACCTTTCGGCACGGCGCGGTGCCAGGCAGGTGGCTGTCATAAACAAAGCGGCGGGTGTGTCTTGGACCATGGATCCCAAAGGGAGAAAAAGGAAGATGGCTGATGAGAATAGAGGATACAAAGAAGAATGGACTGGATCATTTGCTTTCATTACCAATGCGGAAGGATTGCCTGCAATTTTGCTTTGTAATGAGAAGTTGTCAAGAAATAAAAAAAGCGTAATTTGGAAGGCATTTCCAGGAAAGGGATGCAAAATATGCAGCAGACAATCAAGTTGGAAGTGAAAGAAAAAGTGTGACTAAAGAACTTCAGGATAAATTAGAGGAAATCAAAGATAGATTTAAGAAGCAGATTGCATCTCCAACTCCACTATTGCTGCTAGTTTTCCTGCAAGTATTGAAAACTGTTCACAGATCGAACAGGTAACGCTCTCATGCAGGTTAACAAACTTTTTTCCAGTTTTTCCCCAAATCCTCAAAATAAAAATAACACCAAGGAACGCTGGGGATGGAGGATGTGAGATTTCGGGTTTAGAGATCACTCCACTGATGGATGTTAGTTCCTGCTTGGTTCCTCATCAACTCCTCCCAACAGAAACACGTCCACCATAGAAAGATTCCTTTATCGTGTTTCTATCATTTCA